CTCCGAGTGTCAAGCGTCGGCCACTTTACGTACAAAGATGCACCGAAACTTTGAGCCCCAGAGTGGGTTTTGAATGAATCATAAATCAGGGGATCAAATGGAGTCTGTTACCCAAAGGTAGACTGAAGGGAAGTTCTGAATGACTGCAGAATCCGTCTTCTGGAATAATGCGACAGCTGAGTCGGCATTGGGTGAGTTGATCAACAGTGAATCAGCTGCTTTCAATATCCACCAAGATACTAATCAAAAATAGTTACACAATCATCACCAACTCCCAAATGGCTTGGCCGAACAATTGATGGAGTCAAGCTGTAGTGTGTTGTGGTTCCTAGCGTTATCTGAGCAGAATAGCTTATAGAAGCTGGAAACTTATATACTTGTAGGTTGTTTGTGGCAAGGGGAGCTAAGTCTTCCCGCGATTCACTTAGTGGGTTGTTGTCTGCCTGCCATGGGCTGGATAATTTCACATCACGCCTGAGATTGATGCCACAAATTGGTTCACATGGCATGCCTCGTACACGTACTCGTACTCGCAGTGACTCTGCCACACACACACACACACTCGTATGTAAAGCTCTGCTCTACGCTACTGTTGTAATCTTACAACTTTAATTTCTGTTTTTCTTTAGTTTTTCTTGAGTATTTCTTCTTCTTCTCTTTTATTTATTTGTTGTTGCTGTTTGCTGCCACTGCCGCTGTTGTTATTTTGGCTAATTTCGGTGCATTCTCGCGCATTGAAGTGCCGACGCCGTCGTATAGCTAATTTCGTATGTTTTTGCGATTATTGCCAAGCTCTTTCTGTTGTCTCTCCTTTTCTTTTAGCCAAGTTAGTCGCAGGTTTTACAGGTGTGAGTCGTCTGTGTTGATTGTGTGTTAATTAACTTTGGAATCAAGTGGCAGGCGGGGCAGTCACTCTGTAAATTTATGCTATGGCTCATACAGTGGTTACAGATTAAGTGCATCGATTGCCAGTATAAACTGTAGTTCGAAATTCCTAATTGTCATCGGCATAGGTCCACAAATATATATTGCCAATAAGATGAAGAACATATGTATAATGTTAAGGAGATCTTCCCAGATCAAAAATCATCTTTGGGGGGTCTGGGGCATCTCTGGGGATCCAGGATAATCACAGTTTACTATGTTCTTCCACTGTATCAGTCGATTCCTTTGGAACCGGATTACTACAGTAAATATCTGTCTGGTGGTGTCTTCTTTTTTTTTATCGCATGCCAATTCGTGGAATCTGTCCATAATGCTCGTAATGTTCGTCTGCTGTCCGGTGTCTGGATGGATGGATGGAGTGTCTGGACTGGTCTTTCGGGCGGCTTTTGGTTTTCGGCTGACCAGGGGTTTATTAACCGTTGACATTTGTATAACGCACGTCGCTGTCTCTGTCGCTGTACAGTTATCCCGTAATTTAGTCGTAATTCGGAAGCCACAAAGTACTCCGTCGTCGTGTGCCGTTATGGCTGGCACATTTTCATGTTTTACGAGTACTAAATACAGATGTACAGATGAATGTACGTACTTATATCTATATGTGTAAGGTATTCCCAGGAAAGGCAGGCAGTATTCCAGCGTGCTCCAGTTTCTGCTGGACAGGCGACAGAGCATTACAAAACTGCGAGTGAGTAGCCGCAAGTGGAGATACTGTTGCTGGTTTGGCCATTTGTTGTAATTGGCATTGCTGCAAATCAATCAAATCACATCGGAGCCGGGCAATTTGTCTAATGAGTGTTGCCACAGGTAGCTGCAGTAAGTAGGCAGCTGCGAGGTGCTAATAACCATTGCAAATTGAATTAAATGTCCAGTTCTCGTCGAGGCAAATAGGACATACTCTACTCCAATCGCTCCCCCCAATCCCAATCGTCAGCACGGTAGCACAGCACCTTCTGCGCCTGTGCTGCGTTGCGTCGTCTCCTCCATTTGCAATGCGATTTGATGCAAATGCTAATTTGATTGCAGCTCAATGCACTGTTGCCGCTGCCGCTGATTGATTGCTCTGCCGAATAGATACATAGATATATAGATATGGATGAACAAAACCCCCACCGAACAATGAATGCGCATTTCAATGAGACCGCCGCTGCCGCGTAAAAGGAAGCAAGTAGGAGTCGAGTTCTTTCCTTGGACTTATCTCTGGCTGTGGCTGTGGCTGCCATCGGCATGGCATAGATTGAACCTTTCGGCTGATAAACAAAATAGATATAGACATGGGCATGGTGCATATTTATGAGTGGATCACTGTATATATTTTAAACCGCGCAAGGTAGAAGCTGCAGAATAACTAGAATTTACCAGAAGGAACATAACGTTTTGCTCACAATTCGGAATTCGGAATTCGGAATTCCATTTCACATATTTGAATAAATTACTTCTTGTAAACAGGCACTAGCCCAATGGGGAGGGACTTGTTACGTCCTTGACTAGTGTTTGTTTGGTTTCCGATTCACTCCATTCCATTAATTTGCATGCACTGAAACAAAATCCTTTATCTACGACAGCTTCGAGGGTTCTTGGGGTTATTAAACACTTGACGGGCCGAAATCCGGCAACGCCGCTTAGTCAGAGCCCAGGCCCAGGCCCAGGCCCAGGCCCAACCCACCTGAGACTCCACCTGAAGCACTTCCGCTGCACTCTATTAAGCACTTGTCTGCCACACGGCGGCACTCGACTTCGACTTGGCCGCCGAGAAGAGAAACTTGGCAACGCCGCAAGTGAACGTCTGCTAACATGTGATGGGGGGGCTTGGAGCTTGGTTATTTTTTCGGTGCGGTCGCATCAATGACCAAGTGATGAGGCGCGCATGTGTGTGGGTCTCAGTGGATTTTCCTAGCTGCAATTTGTCTTGTTATTGTTGTTCTACTCGTGTTTGTCTGAAAACCACAAAAGACAACAGCGAAAATAAAAGAAAAAACACAGAGACACACACAAACACACACAAAAATGAAAATTGATGGCAGAAAATCAAAAAGCAAAAGCAGCAGCAGAGTCAGCCCAGAGACAGAGCGTAGATCGGGTCTAGGCAACGTTGTTGTCTAAGTCCAATCTAAACTAGTCGAGGCGTTTGCGGTGGCTACCATAGAGTGCATTGACGTGTTGTTTGCATGTGCCTCTAGCACCATGCCCCTGCCACTGCCCCTTGCAGCACCAGCTCTCCCCACCACAATCTTCTCAAGCAAGTTTCGTTTTCAGCTTTCTGAAGAATCGGCAACTTGCAGAAAAAACAAGATTTTTTATTTGATTTTTGTCTGTTTCTTTCGGTCGTCGCTCGGCGAGTACATTGCACTTCCCCCAAAAGCCAGCTCCAGCTACAGCCCGAGCTCCAGCTCCCGAGCTCCCCAGCTCCCGAGCTTCAGAGTCAGTCAATGCTGAGTGAGGAGGATCGGTAAGGTAAGGTACGGTACCCGAGTACGCTGTGGCTGTGACTGTGGCTGTGGATACTGGGGGCACGTACACGTAGGTAGGTTGTTGCCTCGGCGCGGTCGTTCGTTGCTTGTTGGTTGTTGCTGTTGTTGGCGCTGTTGTCGTCTTGGAAAACTGGGTCAATCACTGCCTCGCTTCGTGTTTTCTTGCATCTCTGGGGCCTCCTTTGGTTGGACTGGCTTTTTGGATGACGATGACGGCGCCAAATGAGTGTAAGTTGGTAACTTTTTATTGCTTTTCCATTTGCCTATTTCTTCTTGACGTTACTGCTGCTGTTGCTGCTGCATTTGTACGTGTAATTGCTGCAGATTGATGCCGATTTTGGCCCAATTTCTCGTTTGGGTTCGGGCGCTGTGCGCATTCTCAGCCAAGTCGAAGCACTTCCGCTCTGCATAACCTTTCCTTTGACCTACCCTCAGATGGTAGGCTTCCGTCTCAGTGTGCAGTGTGACATAACTAACGGTTAAACGCACTTTAGCCTGTCGGTCACTCAAAAGTCGCAGACGGAAGAACGTGTTGTACTGTTGTTGCCGGCTCCGAAAGGTTCTCATTCTCAGCCAGCTCTCATACGGAAAGTCATACAGAACGCCGGCCGGCTCCGGATCTCTCGATAAAAAACTGGTTCTCTCTCATGCGTCTTGTTCCGTATACGTAGGTATTGTGTGTGTAGTACTATGTTTGTTCTTAGCCGACTTTTGTTTTTGTTTTGTGTTTTCTCATTTTTTCTTTTTGTTCGGTGATTTTTGTTCGTTTGTGTCACGAGACCGCTGGAAGTCATTTAATGTCTTTTAATTCCACAGAATTTGCGGCATATGAGGTCTAGAGTCAGTTAATGGAAAGGTCTGTGCGACTGTGAGATTCGCTGAAGATACTCCGTCTGGCAGCCGAGCTTTTTGTTCGTATTTTGTGACAAGTCAAGTCAAGTAGATTCTTAGATGGAGAAGATTGCGGCTGAAAGATTGGCTTTTGTTTGAGGAAATCTACTCGGCCACTTATGCATATATTATTCACATTACGGAACTTTTCCTAAGCGTAAATACATCTCAAAGATTACTGGGTTTTGACAGAATTTGACCAACAATTAACCGACTTTTCGCTGGAGAGGCTATAAAAGTTATATATTCATATTAGATTTACGTATATTCTATATCAATATATATTTGACCAATTATTCTATATCAAAGCATTCACACCCAGCGTTCAGCAGCCAAATCAATAAATTTTTCATTTAAATAGATAAAATCCGCTTTGAATTTGAATAGCCGCCAAAATACAACCTGCTTCCGATAGACATATCGATAGTACTATCGTATTGCATAGTGGCACCAGTAACGAATACACAAACCAAACCAAAAAAGCTGGTTGATGTCGCGGCTAATGAAAGAAAATGGCACAGTGTCGCCCCTGTTTTGAATTCAAACTGTGGATGTTTGTGGTACTATTCAAAAGTAACCGCATTTCAAAACATTAGAAACGTTAGAACCTAGAAACCACGATATAATAGAGGGAAACCCTTTTTGTAATTTTAAACAAATTCTATTTATTATTTATCAAAAATGTTTGCCATCATTAGTTTATTTATTTGGGTAAAATTGTTTTTCATTCATGTTTGTATGTATGTAAAACTACTAAAGAACGATTTTGCACACGAATACAAATGTTAATTAATTTGTGCCCTAAGATTATGTAAATACAATTGCGGATGATTTGAGAAATTGCCTTCGTTACGAGTACGATCTGATCTCTTGAGAGTGTTTGATTATCTTTGGATGAGCTTAGTTCATTTCATTTCATATCATATCGTTTATATATCGTTTAGATATACATGTATTGCCAAACTGTTTTCATCAGTCTTGAGTGCAAATTTTTTGTGGACATTTCTCGATAATTTCGTGTAAATTCGTTTTTTTTTTTTATTTCAAAATACTAGATGCTTATTTGGGGTTTGCTAGAGTTGCATATAAATAGGTATATAATAAAAATGGGAGATTGATTTTGTATCTTTGTGCCCTAAATGAATGAAACGTTTGATTGAGAAGAAAAATTCGGGGACTTTTGAATGGAAAGTGGATGAAAATGGCTGCGAGAAATGCGATAGACGTGCCTCCGGTGTAGCGTAAAGTGTAGCGTAGAGGAGGGGTTTAGATGAAAGATGATGAAGATGAGAAGAGGGTAAGAGATGAGCATGAATTACAGATATAGAAAGAGATAGATAGAGCAAGAGTGAGAGTTAGAATAACACAGGGGCAGGGGTGAGTGAGATGGTAGGTAGATGGTAGGAGGAAGAGCTAGAGCTTTGGAACATTTCCGTTTGATGTTCTAACTACGCTTGACCTTTCCTGTCTGACTGTCTGTATGTTTGTCTGTCTCTGTGTGTGTTTGTGTGTGTGTGTCTGTGTGCTGTGCTGTGTGTCAGTAGTGGTGATTGTTTATTCGTGTGTGAGTGTGTTTGTGGACTGTTTTCAGAGAATGCTGCAGTGCTTGGCAGACAGCTGTTGCCGCATGCCGCGCAGAAACACGCGCTCCCCCTCACGCACGCACCTCATTCCTCTGGCCACACCATTAAATACAATCGCCCTCGACCTCCTCCTGGTTAACATCGGGATCGAACTCGTCGTCGGCCGTTGCCTCCTGGTATTGCTGGTACTCGGAGACCAGATCGTTCATGTTGCTCTCCGCCTCGGTGAACTCCATCTCGTCCATGCCCTCGCCGGTGTACCAATGCAAGAACGCCTTGCGTCGGAACATGGCCGAGAACTGCTCGGAGATGCGCTTGAAGAGCTCCTGGATGGCCGTGGTGTTGCCAATGAAGGTCGACGACATCTTTAGGCCCTTGGGCGGGATGTCGCACACGGCCGTCTTCACGTTATTCGGTATCCACTCGACGAAGTACGAGCTGTTCTTGTTCTGCACCGCCAGCATCTGCTCGTCCACCTCCTTCATGGACATGCGGCCCCGGAAGACGGCAGCTACGGTGAGGTAGCGGCCATGGCGTGGATCACAGGCGGCCATCATGTTCTTGGCGTCGAACATCTGTTGGGTAAGCTCCGGGACGGACAGGGCGCGGTACTGCTGCGAGCCACGCGAGGTGAGCGGCGCGAATCCAGGCATGAAGAAGTGCAGACGCGGGAATGGAACCATGTTCACAGCCAGCTTGCGGAGATCGGCGTTCAGCTGACCGGGGAAGCGCAGGCAGGTGGTCACCCCGGACATTGTGAGCGAGACCAGGTGATTGAGGTCCCCGTAGCTGGGATTCGATACCTTCAGAGTCCTGAAGCAGATGTCGTACAGGGCCTCGTTGTCGATGCAGTACGTCTCGTCTGTGTTCTCTACCAGTTGGTGTATCGACAGGGTGGCGTTGTAGGGCTCCACCACCGTGTCGGACACCTTCGGCGAGGGCACCACCGAGTACGTGTTCATGATGCGGTCCGGATACTCCTCTCGTATCTTCGAAATGAGCAGTGTTCCCATGCCGGAGCCGGTTCCACCGCCCAGCGAGTGGGTCAGCTGGAAGCCCTGTGGATCGTTGGAGTTGGGTTACTTTTCTGTTCGCTTCGGCTCGGGGTGTTGCACACTCACCTGCAGGCAGTCGCAGTTCTCGCACTCCTTGCGCACCACATCCAGGACATTGTCCACCAGTTCGGCACCCTCCGTGTAGTGACCCTTGGCCCAGTTGTTGCCGGCGCCCGACTGCCCAAACACAAAGTTGTCTGGACGGAAGAGCTGGCCGTAGGGTCCAGAGCGCACCGACTCCATGGTGCCCGGCTCCAGATCCAACAGGATGGCACGTGGCACATATTTGCCACCCGACGAGCGCGTCACAGCTGCACAGATACATTAGATATTATAAAACGAGAACTGTTTGGGTGGAGGTGGCGTCGTCTTACCTGATGCCTCGTTGTAGTAGACGCTGATACGCTCCAACTGCAGATCACTGTCGCCCACATAGATGCCATTTGCGTCAATGCCGTGCTCCTCCGAAATAACCTCCCAGAACTGAAAAGAAAGGAAATGGACGGCATTCATATATGAGTACTTCCGGGCTCCCGCATCTTTATTATATCCCAGTCTTATCTCCCAGCCAAGAGACCACCAAGATGTCTTTATGGACCAAAGCCGACATCCACTATTTATTAAGCACTTGGCAATCGCCAGATATTTTAGCACACACCACACACAAAGTGTTAGTATGCTTCTCGAGTCGTTTATCAAATTGAATAATTGTGCCTACCCAGCCGTGTCAGAGTTCATGTTGGGCCTGAGCCCGCTTGACATATGGCGGCGGCCGCAGAGACCGCCCGAAAAAACAACAGCCACAGTAACGCCAACAACAATAACGGGGAAAAGAAAACAATTCTAAAAATGTCTGTTTTTGCCTCCTCCGATGTGACAATGTGACAAACAACAAGGCGCAGCCGCAGCCCATAAAGTTTGAGGTTTTCAAAAAAATATACTCGTACATTTGGAAAGTCCATATATGGGGCCCTGTGGCATCAAAAGTGAGACAGATTGCCCAAAAAACGAAACAACAAAATAAAAAATGAAAAAATGGGGAAAATAAATTTATGTTTAGTTTTTCAAACCGAGCCGTCAGTTATGGACGCTCGGGACATGCCCTGATTTAGTGCTAAATTTAAAAGATAGATACGTCCGGGCCATTAAAAAATATGGTACGTATAGTTTCCCTCTCGACGTATGGGACGAAATTTCCAAGCAGAGTCGCATCGCTCCTGGGGTGCAACCTTAGGCAGCGAAAAATGCATTTAAAAATAGTTCAGCCCGTGGGATGGGATGGGACCGACAGAGAGGCCACGACTCCGGCTGCGACTGGGACTGCTGACTCATACACGATATATAGAATCTTCTGGCTGTGAATCTTCTGCAGGCCAACGACCCAACACGAGGCAGAGGCAGAAGAAGCATAGGGCAGGGGCCAGGGGTGGGGCTGGGCATGGCGACAACATCATTAGACGGGGCCCCGGATTGAATTGCTATAAATTAAGTATATCATTCTGTATCCAGTAGATTTATTGAGGAAATGCTCTGCAATAGTCTTGCTGCGTTTAACAGAGCCAAATTGGGGAATCGCTGCCAGAGTTAGTTACACATTAGCCTCTCAAATTGGGGAATCGAATGGGGGAATCGAATTGGGGAGTCGAATGGTGTAGAGCTGGACTATTTTCGGGCTCGTCCACGGGGCTCCAGTGGAGCGAGACGTAGCCGGCCTGACCTGGCAACAGCCCAGAGTCTCGATCTCTTGGATACCATACCCCAAAAGCCGAGAGGAAATAATAAAAATGTTAGCGATTCCCCAACCCGATGTCTGAGATATTTCCCTTTAGCACTTGAACTTGACGGGTGAGACTATAAACAAGACAGGGACTGGGGACTGGGGACTGAGGTACTGGTGGACTGGTGCTGGTTCTTGCTGGCTCTGCCCATGGCGTCTGCATTTCGTTGTTTGTTTAAAAATGAATGAGAAGGAAAGAAACTAAGAGCAGCAACATCTACAGAAAATTGAATCTCAAGCAACTGCAATCTTAGCAAGATCATCAAATTTAATTGGAGTGTGGCCGCTGCAATTATGGAGCTAAACCATGGCTGGGGCCGCAACAATAAAGCTCACTATATAAGGCCGAACGGACGGATGGACGGCCGGCAGAGGAAAGCCACACAACAACGAATATGAAAACTAAATGAGCACACAAAACTGTTGAAGTGAAAAGTCGTTTTTCATCTCTCTCTAGCTCAGTCTTTCCACTCACTTCCACTTCCACTTCTTGCCCGACAATCGCTGATCGCTTTACTTTTACATTCAACCAATTTTTCATTTCGGATTTTTCCTTTTGATGATAATGGTCTTGCCGGAAAATTGCCTTTTTTCGGTGAATGTTAGCTGCAGTGGATCGTGAGAGTGGTGGGGCTTGGAGCTGTAAATGTGGCATACAGTTAGATTGTAATTATAGATGTATCGATGCTGAGGTTGGGATTGTTTCCTCAGTGGAAAAGAATTCAGCTTGGAGAGGGAAGTTCCTGAACAGATCAGGAGTCCAATTGGGTATTTAACATTTTATTGTATGTATACTTTAATTATTAATTTAAGTTGAAAGGTGTTCCTCTTTTTCGTAGATTTTCCCCATCTCGACATCTGTTCTAAAAAATTTCGTTGTTCATGCCGCTCTTCACGTCCCCCTCCCCTCCTCACAAAGTCTATAAATTTTCTTTTGTAATTAATTTCAAAAGCTCTGCTGCATGGCAACTGTTGCAGTTGCAACTCCTATTCGCTCCCCTCCGCTCCCTGCCTGGCCCCACCTCTTCCTTTAGACCGCCCCGCCCGCCGCGCCTACCGCGCCTGCCACGCCTCTTGCATGCGATCATCTGGCGACGGGCAATTGAGACGCCCTCATTAAGTGTTGCATGTCTGGAAGCCGCCATGAAGTAGCCAAAGACTCGACTCCTCCACGGCTGCACTGCTGCACTGCTGCAGATTCAGACCCCTCCGTCTCCCCCCATTTCTAGTTGTCTTTCTGGCTCTTGAAGAGAAAATCACTCGGGCATGAACTTGGAGCCAGTCTGAAGCAGAAGCTCCATCCAATCTCTCCCTAGCCCCCTCCCTCCCTCCAGAGGATCACTGACTTCCCGGGCTGTACGAGTACTCGTAATGCCTCTTCTGCAAGTTCTTTCAAAAGAAAGAAATATACGTATGCAAAAAGACAGAGAAGTATTGCCACCAGATACAAAACATTTGGCATCAAGAGGAATTCTTTTGATTGAAGGAAGGGGGCACAACCGATCTTGGGGCATTTGTCTTTTCTCCAGCTGCTGTGGGGTGTCAAAAAGAGAGGCGATAAGAAAGAAAAAGCGAATGGGTTTATTGACTCTAGCAATCAGTTGCAGTCTCTTTCTCCCTCTTGAATTCAATATAATCTGGGCTTACAATTAATATGCATTTATCGTCGTATCATGTGCTAAAAACGGAAACGGAGAACCAATTCGGAATTGGTATGCAGCCCCGATATCCTGTAACAGTATACCCCAAAGGGTGACTCACTTCCTTCGCACTTGTGAGGTTTTCCTTTGGCCAAAAGCATTCGCATCTGTAGGCAGAGAGCGCTGCCTGTCACATTTTTGAGTATTTTAATGTCCACTCAGCTGTTCTTGCGGCTGTTTTTCTTCGGGCCGACCTCTTCATTCTTCTTGTTTTTGGGGTCTCACATTACGAGGGGGTTCGCTCCTCAAATTACCAAGTCGACTGCTCATCGTAGTCGCCTCGTACTCGTACTCGTACTCGTACGAGTCTCTCCGTGTGTCTGTCTGCCTGTATCTGCTTAAGCGTGTGTACAGCGGAATATTGTATACTGCTCCATAAAACCATTACTATTGCCGAAATTCCAAGAAGCACAAAAGGCAGGCGAAATTTACTTTTAAATTGACGCTGCCGCCGTTCTTTGCTGACTTTGAATCCGAATCTGCCTCTCGATGCCGCTCTGCCCCCCACATTCGCTCCTAAATTGAGTCACAACAAGTGATGATGATGATGTGGGGCCTAGGCCGCTTATCTTTTATTTTCTGTTTAGCCATACTTTAATTTGCTAATAATGTTATCAGCAATAGTTGTTGGCTGTTTCCAAACGTGACACACATTGCAGTAAGTATCTGGAACTGGAAATTAATCAAAGCCCCAGACGGAGGCGCTGACGGAGACGAGGACGGAGACGCTAAGCATTGACATTGATTCCACAGAAAAATCCACTCAACGGGGACCCACTTGTCAATGCCTCAAGCAAAAATGCACAAAAAACAAGAGTACAAAAACTGGTATTGCCAAAAATCAAAGAGTGTTGTGGCAAGCCGGTTACCTGGCAGTCTCCTTTAGCGGGTGGCAGAGCGGGAGGCTGCTGCTGCTCTGCCACCAGGGTCTTGGATTCGATGCGATGCACTTTGCACACTGCTGAGGCTCGTGTTTTGGGGCATGTCGATTGTGTGGACCATAGGGTATATAGTACATACTCGCATGTGCAGTAAAGGCTTTAAGGCAAATCGGAAATTGGACTGCATTATTTATTTGCTTTTACAGAGCTTTTCCGGTTTGCTTTTGCAAACGATCTGCCCATGAATGAGGTTTGAGAACCTGCTGGAACCTTTGTGACTCATTGGGGTCTCTGGAAAACGATTCACTTCTAAAAAACGGATCTCATTCTATCAATTCAGCTTTCCAACCAATATTATTTGTAGTATTTTCTGCTCAGTACTTTCCATGCTTATTTATATTGCAGTTTTTTTGCGGTTTCTTCCGTAGTAAGTGGGGGAAGGAAGCTCAAGCAAAGCGAAAAGATTTCACCGCAATGATAATTCAACAGATTTCCCTTTGCCACCAAAGTCAGTGGCAGAGTGGCAAAGGCAGAGCTCAAAAAAGAGATCTCAAAAACGGTTCCCTGGCACTTTTCTTGCCGATTTGCGCCTTACATCAACATGCCATAATTCTCCTCCGCCTCCTCGTCTCTGTTCCTGGGCCTCCCTGGATGTCGACAATGGGTTCACAATGAATCACTTTTCTGGATCTGCAGCCTGCCCAACCCGTTCTCTGACCATTTAGAAAGGGCATGTGGAGTGCCGGACAAAGTCGAAATACATTTCTTTACTTGATAACTTTTTGTTGCACTTTGCATTTTATTTGAAGTCTGGCTTTTTGTTAATTTTCTTTCGCTTTAATTGCTGAATGCGCTGAAAAAGGCGGAGACGGCGCACTGGGTCCCAGCCTGATCATTTTGGAAACTCATTGAAAAACGTTTTCGGTCATTGTGCATAAATTAACAATCGAATCGAATTGGCCAGCAGCAACAAAAACAACAGCAACAACGAGAAACAGAGCCAAAGCAGAGGAAAATAAAAAAATAATGAGGCTTACCTTAGCGCCAATTTGGTTGCCGCACTGGCCGGCCTGCAGATGGACAATTTCTCTCATTTTCCGACTGGGTGGGTGGGGGACTTGTTGCTGTGGCTAACAAATGCGATTGGGGAGCCTGTGAGCCTGGAGCTGAATCTGCTGAGCTGCGATGTCTCTGGAGGATGCACACTGCTGTCTGCTGTCTGCTGTTCCTTTGCTCTCTGGTTGCACTGGTGTTGCACTGTTGCACTGGCGTTGCTCTGGATGCTCTGGTTTGGGCAACTTTACCGCACAACGCACAAAACTCAACTGATCCACAGCCGACGGCTGGCCGAAGTCGACGATGGTTCTGGCTGTCGACCGTCGACTTCAGGCAAGCGAGAGGGAAGATCACTCACACAGAAACACACAGAGTTTACAGAGGCGCGGCACACAGACGCACACAGGCACAGACACAGACACAAGCCACCATGACTGCGAGGGGCAGCAGTCAACTCACGCACGCAGCAGCAGCGGCCTGGAGCTGCCTGTAGCTTTTTATTGTGGCAGCTTTAATCGCACGAACACGACAGGCCAACAAGAATATTATGAGTCGGCTATTTATAATCGATGTGGCGGGGGAGGAGGGAAGGGAGTCCGTAACTCTAGGGATGAGTCGATATTAACTAACTTTATGGCCGTCAGAGAGTCGTTCTACTAAATAAGTGGAAAATATAAGTTTTCTGCAGGTTAAATCTTAATTGGAAAGTTTAAGGTCCAAGTCTATCATTTCGTTTGGCTTCAATATTCATTCCCAATTCGCAATACGCTTTTTCTCTGTATCTGCATCTGATCTGCATGCCAGGCACAGGAGTATCTATGTATACTCGTACATCTCCTTGTGTATCTTATCTGTGTATATATTAAGATGTCTGTCTGGCACCCCGCAGTCGTTTTCCTGTTCCTAAGTTCACACATTTTTATGCTGTCAACTGCAGCGACTTTCACGTTCTAATTTTATCAGCCAGAATGCACAGGTATGCAACTCCTCTTCTCAGCTATTCCTCTGTATCTCTGTATCTGTGTATCTCTGTATATCTGTGTAATTGTATATGTGTATATGCGTCAGAGTGACTCTAGCTGTGTGTGTACGTGTGTGCATACGCTTCCACAAAAGTGTCACCGCAGTCATTAGAAATGTTTCGTCCGTCTTCATACATGTGTTTTTCCTTTCATTTTTGTACTCCTAATGCATTCTGAAAAGGAGAGATGTATTTATAGTCGGACCTCTAGATCTTCCTCTTCTGCTAACACTTATTCTACTGCTGCTGCTGCTGTTGCTGCTGGTGGCTCGCAGCTCGGCGGCGTCTATTTTCCATTTTCTTGGGAAATCAATCAATGCCCCAGCAAGACAATTTGTAGTCGTTTTACTTTCAAATTGCATTCAAGTTGAAAGAGCAAGAGCACACAGCTTAAGTAGAGTGAAAAGTTGGAGGGCATAGTGGCTAAGGGGAATGGGGAAAACTGCACTGCGCACTCCTCAAGTGCCTTCGTCAGGCCTTCTATTCCTATTTCCATCCGAGGCAGTCAAACCGCAAAATTCACTTTAATTTCGAAGGCATGGCAGCAAGCAGACATCACTTACGACTGACTCTCCTTTACCGCTCTTCTGTTCCTGCCCCACAGCCTCTTGCTTGCTAAATTTAAATATGCCACAAAATAATCTCAAATTTACGACTCTGAATAGATAAAATGTTGTTTGCATTCAGAGCCGACACGAGAACTACAATCTAAACGATCAATGTGGCTATGGCGACAACCACACAAAGGACATGGCCTCACCAGAATACAGCAGGACCAAACAGAGCAGCACAAACTTTTCCAGGACAACAAATAAGTATGTATGTATGTACATATGTATATTTGGTGACATTTTTGGCTGGTCAAACGGGAGCAGGCGAGCGGTGCACATTTTTTTTGGAACAGGCGTAGTCTGCAAGGGGTCTTTTTTTGCAGGAAATTGAAAATTGATTAGAATTCTAATTGGGCAATGAATGGGCGGAATGAATGTGAATGAACTGCATTTGAAATGACTTTTGGAGATAAATCACTTCAGCAAGTAATATCCGCAGGTGGATGCGGATACTACAGTCCCTACACATAGGGACTATACATTTCTGGAGTTCTTATTTGTTGTGAATGTAATAGTTTTGCTTTACAAATTCCCCCCGAACAAAAACATTTTCTGTTTCCCTTTTTCAAAAGAAATGAATTCCGTTTCTAAGACTCTATCTTAAAGTTTTCAAACAATAATAGAGAAATTTTCGGTTGGTTGCTTTTTCAGGGTAAGCTTTAAAGCTGTTTCCCATCCCCCTCCAAGGGTAGGGCTACGCCTATGTCAACACGCACATCCCTGTATTCTTATAAAGCCCACCATTGCCACTTGACTGCTTTGGCCTGCATCAATGGTATTGTGTGTGTGGGTCTGTGGGGAGGGGGGAATCCTCCTCATTCCTGGGAAACCCTAACAAAAAGTAACAAATGTTTTTTTAGGATTTGTGCTTTGGGAATTTTTGCACTTGTGTAAATGTAAGAGCCGCACACACACACACGCACGCACAAAAAGGATCCAGGGCCTACAAAAACGAGAATACAAAAATATATTTTAGCAAAAATTATACGCCCACAATGTATCTAGATTCAAATGTACATACATATGTGTGTATGTGCATACATCATGTGTAAACAGAAAAATTGTTGCAATCATTGTCACTATTTCTGATATTATTGTTGTTGCGCATTACCATAGTAGTATTTATCCTATAACCATACTCGTATACACTCGTATGTGCGGATGTGTAATTGCAACTGTTATTAGCATGTTTACATAGAGGATTCTGATGCTGCCCCGCCCACGACTGCATGTTTGATTGATTTGGCCAGCGAAGAGTGGAATGAGTGTTTAATTTATTTTCCAACTTCTCCTGCCTCCCTTTTTTGGCCATTTTAACTATGTACATATTTGTAATTATCATTTTTGCATTTCTGCCACTGACAATCTCGTTTTGTTCTATCTCATTTTGAAATGAAATTAATTTTGCATAATTGCTTTTTGGTTTTCACGTTTTTCTAGCCGTTGTGCGGCGGATTTTTGTATCCTTTGGCTGCATTTTAATTGAATTTGATTGATTTTTGCTGATGTTGTTGATGGAAAAATAATATTGTTGTAAAATCGTAACCTCAACCCCACACCCTATTGTATCCTGCAGAGAATTGGCAATGCTTCGTTTGTGGGCAAAAGCCTGAGGCTTAAGGGCACACCGAGAAGGGCACAAACAGGTGTGCCGCAGAAGGGGATTGGATCTCACTCTCTCTCTTTCTCTTTGAGCTGTGAGCTCTGAGCTTTCCAAATAACACGTGTGGCATGCCCTAAGACGCTTTTATCACAGAGAAAAACCTGCCGTTTGTGGCACTACAGAATCTTAAAGAGTGATTTTAAGGAAAACATATATTCATTCAATCTTTTTGCTTCTCCTTTTCAGCCTTTACCTCAAATGTCAGGAACTTTTAGCTGAAAATTTATGCAACTAATTTTTCTCATACTTTTTTATGATGCCCCTCCTTCAGCCTTCAGCTCTGCTTTCCTGCAACAGATGCTGCAGCGCTGCTGCTGGCCAATAGTTTTTGCTTGCCAATTAGTTGTTTTAATTGCAAAAACGTTGCCAGTTATGCAACACGAGGCGAGACAAGAGCCAGCAACAAGCGTTGCAACTACGAAATGACAATTTAATTGTCACCACCCTGTCTCCCGCCCGCGTATCCCATCTAACCAACTCCTTTCCGCAATCACGTATACGCCATGTGGGCGATGGCTGATATTACCCGTGAGGGGCGGGGTGGGCAGTAAGTGTTTGCACCTTGTTGCCACGCGGCAATCTGGCAGATATTTCCAGCGTTTATGGACGATTCGAGCCGCAGCAATTTCAATAAATCTTGACAATGCCCTAAAAATATTAGCATAATAAAAGGCGCGACAACAGAACAGAAGGGTCAAGTCAATATTGTGGCAGCTTCCATCGAGGCTGAGAGGCAGCGAGGCACCGAGGGCTTCCAACGCAGTTGCCACATTTACACAGAGCACAGACAGCATCCCCCCGCAACAGGGTGGCAGCAGAAGCAGCAGGAGCAGCAGTGGCAAATTTATGTCAGCAACAAGCTATCAGCCCGCACAGATACTACCCCCCAAACGACCTTAATACGCATAATTTTAGATGAGGGGGTGGGGGGAGGGAGGTGAAACGAGAGGTGGCCGTGCCATATAATGTGGTGCAGGCATCGATCAGCAATAAAAATTCAAATTTCGCACAGAGCGGCACAAAAATGTCCGATGTCAAGCAAGGCTGGTCTTGAACGAATACCCTGGAGTGGAGTACGGACTGTTTCGACAGATAGGCATTTGGAGCAGAATTTGAGAAGAGTTCAAAAGGTAAAAGGACTACCGGTTGATGTAAATTTTCATAGCATACTTTTAGGAGTAAGCTAGAGGGCATAGAAAACTCCATCATTGAGAGCGGATCCTTTGGCCCTTGTCTCCTGCCTTTCTTACATTAGATAATATATTTGATTGGATCCGAAGATATGTGTGTGTCTGTGGTACATTGTAAGTATTGGCTGAGAGAGAAAGCTCTGTTTCGCTCAGCTGACTTCGTTTCCCCCCCTCTATCCCTCTCTCTCTCTCTCTCTGTATATCGTTCTGTGGCGCCTTCACATTTTTGCCAATTGGCCAACAAGTGTTGCCAAATTGCGTTGCGGTTGCTGGTCATAAATAACGGTACTTTTGTCATTTATACACATAAATTGCAGCAGACGCTGAAACGCGAAAAGAAAAAAAAAGGAATAGCCGAGAGCCGGGCCTGGTCGTGCCTGGCCAGGCCTGGCCTGGCTCGGCCCATGTCCTGCTTTGGTATTCCGTTAAACAAAAAACGAAGGGCACAAAACACCGAGCACTCTCTGGCCATCGCATAGGCCTCCTGCTATCCATCCAGCCGATGCCCGATTGCTGCTGCCAATGCCACTGCCGCTGCTGCTGCCCACACTAACGACTTTGGCGACAGAACGCAGCTGTCGCTTGCCATTTGGCAATAATTGTTTAATATGCGGGCGCATAAAGGCGGTCGGCGAGGTGGCTTCGGCCCATAAAAAACAACAGCAGCGGCAGCAGCTGCCCGAGAGCAGCCCAGAGAGAGGGGAGAGAGCGAGAGATTGGTCCAAGGCTTAGCCAGGCCCACGTGTGTGCTCTGTCCTGTGTCCTGTGTCCTGTCCACTGATGCAGTACGTACCCCCCCAATCTGAGCAGCTGCTGCAGGCTTCCCTCCCCACCCCACACGTACTAAGTATCCAGCTCCCATTTCGAATGGAACTGAAGTTGGTCTTAAATATGAAATGAATGCGGAGTGGCGGGGGCAGGGGCAGGGGCAGTGGTAGGGGGGAAAGTTTTGAAAAGCAGGAAAACCTAATTGCGTTTCGGAATGCCAAAATCTTCGCGGCGTTCGGCAATCGCCAATTTGTTCAATCAAGAGCCCGAAAGCATGCAGCACATTTTTGCTGATTGCTGCGCTGCCGCTGACGGTGTTGGCTGGCATCGCACTGCCTGCCTGCCTGCCTGCCAATGCCGCACATGCTGACTGCAGTTAATTACAAAACTGTCAAATCCAAAAGGTGCCACGAATCAACGAGGCAGCCAGGCAGTGAGGCAGCCAAGCAGCCAGGCAACCAGAGAAGTAGCGAGGAAAGCACCACACCAACACACACGGTAAGCTGCTGCCACAAGCAGCAGCAGGTCACACAAGCAGAGATGGGGCAAGGAAGTGTGGGAGTGTGCCACGGAGAGAGAGAGAGAGTGAGGCACACCAAATAGGCAGATCAGCCAACAGCTGCCGAACAAACAAAAAACCCAACAAAACAAAGCCTGCTGCAGGAGTAGAAGTGGCAGGGGCAGAGGCAGGGGCATGGCAGGGATTGGAAACTGCATTGTGTGAAGTTTTTGCTGTAGGTGTGTGTGTGTGTGTGTGTGTTTTTGTGTATGAAATATAATTCTGGCGTATTGTTGTATTAAATGATGTCAACAGCAGCCGTCCAGCAGAGCACCAAGTCTGAGTCTTCAGTTGCCAGGCGGAAGTCGGCAGTCGAATGCCCGGACGGACCAAATCGAATTTAATTGCATTGCCGCCGCACGTTGGCTTTTAATTAATTTTTGCTGCCTTCTGCTGCTGCTGCTCCTGCTCCTACTGCAGCTTTTCCAGGATCCCAAAAAGGCCAAAACCAAACAAACTAAACACACACCGACACATGCACATTGGAAGCCCGACAGGGCAACATCAAACGTCATGCACAGGTGCAATGTAATTAGCACGAACTGACATCGCTCGCCAAGGACCACGCGGCGTGGAGTCGGGGGTCGAGGGTTGATGGTCGAGAGAGGGGCCGAGCTGTGCGGGTGGCAGTGGCAGCATGAAACATAAAAACAAAAGCAAGCAAAACCTTTAAGCCCAAATGCATACAAGCAAAAGCGAGGCAAGCCAAACCGATTCGGCCAGGAGCAGAAACACGAGAAGAGACTATGAACTCGGAGCATAGTCGAATCGATGTTACCCTAAATAATATTTGATTAAATTTTAGATAATAGCACATGCTGATCCTTAATCATCGCTGCCTGAACGTAGCCAACAAGTATAGAAAGCTAAATGAAATAAATAATACCTAGCAACAAGTAATAATATTCATTTAGCCATACCCCTTTTTCTGTAAGTGTACAACAGACGGAAGCCAGCAGAAACATTGGTGCCCGTTTGGTAGTAGCTCCACTGGCAGCGTTTTAATAGCTTTGAAATTCCAATGGCAGCTGTGCCACCGTCGCCATCGCCATCGCCATTCCCCTGCCTGGGCTTGGTTGGCCTTGCCTTGCCTCCTATGTCCTTCCACCGAAAAGCTTTTCAAATGAGCCCAAAAAGGAACCCAAAGGAAGGCCAAGACCAAGGCGGAACAATGGAAGTCAGTGCCTCACGATGTTCGTCGAACATTTCGAAAAAATTATTGAAAATTTTTTAATTTTCCCACTTACGCAGGGCCGTTGCACGCGAAGTTGCAACAACAGCAGTAACCAGCTGCTAGCGGCCCTGCAGTTGCTGTTTCAGTTGCTGTCGTTGTTGGTTTTATTGTTATTAGCTATGCGAACGTACGAATAGCAGCAGTATTCATGCACTCTGCGCCCACAACTGCCATTTTATTTATGACATCGACGATGGCGTCGCGAAAAACGGAAATGAGAGGAAGGAAAAGGGGCGCTTGGCAGCTGCTGCTACTGGTGCAACTTTATGAGCAGTTTTGGTAGAAAAAGAGAGAGAGAAAGACAGAGAGAGCAAGAACCTGCCACACATTGTTGATTGCGAACGGAAATATATCTATATCTGGCGGATGGAAAACCCATACCAATTAAGATGCAGCATCTTGTAAATTATATTTAGATCGGGGAAAAGGTTTCTTTTCCCTTACCTTATTACCTTTTACCTCGTTTAACATTCTTGCCACACTCAAAATGCAGCCATGCTGCACCCACCCATTCCTCCCGCCTTTGGGGTGAAATGGTGCTCAGCTTTGTTTGCCATTTCTTCGTTTTTTATGATTGCCTGCCACAACTTTTTCGCCATTGCCATCGACATCGATATTGGTGGCCGTCGACGACGACGACGACGACGCTGCGTTGCGTTGCAGCAAAGCGCTGCCTGCGGTTGCCACAACGGTTCCTTGTTGTTGCTGCTGTTGCTGTTGCCGGAACCGTTGTTTTGTATGGATTTTGCACATCGTTTATCTTAGACGACGGGCAACGGAGTCGCAGCTGCCGCCAGCGAGCGGAAATGGCGTTAATGTTGCAACAGCAGCAACTGCAAAAGTAGCAACACCAATACCAACTCCTGCAGCAGAAGCAACAGCAGCTGCCAATGAGCGAGAACTTAATCTTGGGGATTTAACACTTTCGATATATCTTGCGGCGAGGGTGGATACTGGATAGTAATGGCAGCGGCAGTAGCAAAGGGAGCATCTTCTGGCCATAAAACGTATTGGCTGCCATTATCGGTTAAGCTCTCACTTTATGGCCGAGAAACGCGCACGGCTTTCGGCTTTCGGCTCTTGGCTCTTGGCTCTCAGCTCTCGGCCCAGAAGGAATAGCCCCTTCATCATCTTTGGTATCAGTCGTTGGTTGGTTTAGTGTTAAAAGTACAATTGGACTCACAAAACATTCAATATCTTATATGTGTAAATAATCGGGATACCCCCGGATTCCCCCGCGTTCCTCAGAGTCCCGCTGTTCCCGCTTGCAAGGACTTATATTGATCCCTGCTCAAGTGCCTGTAGACTCCATCGCGATTCAAGTAAAATATTGGATCCGATAGCCGGGTCAGATCGTAGCCCTCATTGGCCAACTCGCGCTTCTTCAACTTGAAGGTGGCCGTGCGCGGAATCTCGTCCAGCAGCCGAATGAAGAGGGGTCGCGCGTAGGCCGGCAGGCTACCCCTCAGCATAATCGACAGATAATCCATGTCCACTTTGCGGCCGGGATCCACAATCGCCGCCATGCCAGCCTTGCCCTCCACATGGGGGATCTGAAAAGATAACGAGAATTTACCAACCAAACAAATTTTACGCGTATTTTGTGCGTTATCTGACGTTATCAGGCTCTGACTCAACTGCGGCATCAAAGAGCTGACTCACCTCCACGCCATAGACCACACAGTCCTCGAGGCCAACGCAGTTCGTTATGATGGCCTCCACCTCTTGGGTGGCCACGTTCTCGCCCCGCCAGCGGAAGGTGTCACCCGTGCGGTCCTTGAAGTAGAAATAGCCGAGTATATCGCAGACCACCATGTCACCGGAATTGAAGAATACGTCGTCCTTGGCAAAGACATTCCGCAGTAGCTTCTTCTCCGAGGCGCCCTTGTCCGCATAGCCATGGAAGGCGCTGACCGCGCGTCGGGAATCCACCTTGCCCACCAGCAGACCTGCCTCCCCGGGTCGACAGCGGATGCAGTGGCCCCGTGGGTCCTTCAGTAGCTCCCCCGTCTCTTCATCGCAGAGCAGCACCTGGACGGGATAGATCTTCCGGCCGTAGACGGGCACAAAGCCAATGGCGCCCTCGCGGTTCGAGATGTTAATCAGATTGGAGTTTCCTTCCGTGGCGCCGTATATCTCGCCTATCTGCGGTATGGAGAAGCGGCGGACGAACTGCGACCAGATCTGTGGCCTCAGCCCGTTGCCGTACATCATACGAAGGCGATGATGCTGCTGCTCAGGGGTGTAGGGCGTGGCCAGCAGGTAGCGACACAGCTCCCCGATGTACTGGGCCACGGTGCAGTCGTTGCGGCTGCAGTCGAGCCAAAAGTTCTTGGCCGAAAACTTCTTGCGCAGAACAACAGTGGAGCCGTTGAGGAGAGCCATGCCCACGCCAACAATTCCCCCGGCGGTGTGATAGAGGGGCAGAGGATTATACACCACATCGTCGCGGTTCAAGCGTAGCATGTAGAACGTTCCGGCGGCCATGAAAAGGAAGCGGAGGTTGGTAATGACAGCCGCCTTGGGCAGTCCCGTGGTGCCGGATGTGTACACATACAGCAGCTTGGAGCGCGCTTCCTCTGCTGAGGATGAGGGCGGCAGGGCCATGGCCTGTTGCGTCGCCAGGGCGGCACTTAGGTCCACGGCTCCTGGCAGTAATTCATGTCCGGGAATGGTCCTCAGCTCTTTATCGGTGTACTGATAGACGGGAAGGCATGGCAGCTGCTCCTTCTCGATCAGCGATTGTAGAACATCCATCAGCTCGCTTCCGAAAATGAGGGCCTTGGCGTTGGCCACTTTGATGGAGTGCAGCAGCGACTCTCCCCGAAGATTCGAGTTGATCAGAGCCGTGATCACGCCCAACTGCGAGAGGCCGAGCCAAATGCAGGGATACTCCAGGCGCGTCTCCATCAGCAGGGCCACACAGTCGCCCCTCTGCAGTCCTTGCGTACTGAAGAATCCTGCCACCTTCTCGCTGAGGAGCAGGGCCTCGGCATAGGTGATCCTGCGATCGTCCATGACAAAACAGGACTTTTGGGGCTGCGCGCGGGCCAGTTGCTGGAAGCATCGCGCTATGGTGAAGCCACCTCGATCCCGCTTCAGGAGATACAAATTGAGGGCCAAGAAGCGCTGCAGAGCCCTGCAAGAGGAACCATTTAGGTAAGTATCTTAGTAACTTTCAAAACATACTCACATTATGTCCCTCTGGGCGGTCATTACCAGGGAAAACACAAATGTGGGACTCCGCAGGAGTAGACCCAAGAGCGCGGCGAAAATAACGCTGGCCACGGCAGTATCGCAGCAGAAGCAGAAATAAACCAAAGATGCCGCAATCAGAGTGCCCAGACGGGTGGCAAGCTTTTGCTTCAGGTTGAGCTCCAGCTGTATCTCCATTTTCTTGCCTCCAGGCTGTTGGTCCTCCTGGTCGCCGAGTTCTCCGTTCTCACTCACTGCAAAGGCAAGGCATTAATGATTTACTCAACATTTTCATGTTTAGTCTGACAGCAATGGCAAGGCCAGACACCTGACAGCAGACCAGAAATCCCCACACTAACCCTTCGACTAACGCCTAGGGCAATTGTCTAGCTTCGACTGGAATAGTGATAGTGGGCCTCTGATAGCGTGATAGGGAGCTTCCCTGATAGCGACTAAGTTTGTGGATCCCAAGTTCTTATCAATGCATGGTGCCGGGGCCGTTAAGGAGTGGGGTATTGACAGAGTCTTAAGATAGTTGGGGCGTGAAAAATCAAACAAGTGTGAAATATACACTGTGAAACAGGTTTGAGCTACAATGTTGTTGATCATTGAAATGGAACCATTCCGCTGAATGAATTCTTTGTCATTCTACTCAAATTACAAATGCAATTATAATTACAGCCGACTGGCAACGAGTCTGCTTTACATATTTATTTAAATATAATATATGCTGAAAAACCAGCTTAAATACTTTATACCATGTATTCCCCTGGGTTTTGTTTAATCCTATCTTATAGTCTCTTATGTGACAGCTTTTCTGGGGGGAAAAGCGCTAATTGGACCGTACAATTTATTCACTTAACTTTGACGACCTAACCTAATGGCTTACTATAAATGATAGTGCACGAAGGGGTAGTACTCGACGTAATCTCAAGATTTTAACCCATTTGGCTTGGAAACTTTTAGGTCTCAATGAGAGTGAAATCTTAACTAATCTCCCAACATGCCATTTAGATTAGCTGCGTCTGAAAGTGAAGTGGAAGCTATCGGCAAATAAAAACTGCACTGGGTGACTGCCATTGAACCTGGGGCTGGTCCCAGCAAAACAGCTGATATCACAATGGGGCAGACAGCTAATGGTTTAGAGGGAAACATTTGGCAGGTGGGACAAAGGAAAAATAGCGCTACCCAGAACTGAGTGATAAATCAAAGAGAAAAAAGCAGCCACAGCTTTCATATGGGGTGCGAGCGTACCTAGTCAATTCTAGGTTTACAAATAAATTACTTTGTTTGCCTTTTCAAATGAGTCTATTGCTCAAAATTGGAGCAGATTTTCGTTTGTTTCGGGCACAGAGGTTCCCTACACGAGTATAAGGGTTAACGAAGCTATCAGGCACCACGGACTGGGACCGGAGACAAAGTTCATTGCTACTCGCGAAACATCCAGTATGGACATGCCCGACTCTATCTCTATCTCCATGTTTACACAAACACTACTGCATATGCATGTGATTGTCGATGTGTGTATGTGATTGGGTGGCGTCTATGTTGGGACCTTGACTTATTTCGAATTCCGATCACAGAACGATCGCCACGCACTTCTTGGCACTGTCTTCCGCGGGTTACGTGAGCCCAGCCCATGGACTGCGAATGGGTTCTACGAGCATTATTCCACATTTACACTATTGTTCTGAGCGGTTCGTGGCTGTCAGCGTCAGCCCCCGTCATGATCAATGCAATTCACTTTTCAATGTCAGTGCAGCAGCGCCTACTGTGTTCTCTTCTCTTCTCTGACATACTTTTTACTGCACGAACGTCAACGGTTCTTTGGGATAAGCAGAAACACGCAAAACAACTCGAAAACAGTGATCGCGAACGCGAGCTGAACGGACGGCTGGGGATCGTGGAATTGAGCAAAAAAGGGGCCATCCGTCGGCCTTTTATAAGCGAAGTCGGGGAGAGAGAGAGAGCGTAAGCTCCAAAGTTGGAGAGTGAGAGACCCCCAGCATCAATTACCTACGCCAAAGCATATTAATGCACGGCGTGGCTTCATGAAAGACCGCTCTCACGACATTCGAATATGTTCTTTCAATTGAGGTGTTTGTTCGGTTACTAGCGAGCGCCAGAGAGAATAAAAGTAATGAAGAGAGTGAAGGCCTTACCTTTCATAAATACACCTTGGGTAAGCAGTTAAGACTACTACAACTCCCTTTACAAAACTCTCAAAAGAAAACACTCTTTGGATATCCAAGGGCCAGCCGTAGCATTTGTTACACCATTGGAGAATTGTTAATCGCTTCCAAATCGCATGCAATCTTCAAAGTTTTTCCATTTTTCCAAACACCCGATTGACTGTTACCACGTGTTGCAGCACCTGCTAGAATTTTCCGGCTAGCATTCTCGCTTGTCGAATTTTTTTAATTAAACATTTTTTATACGACATTGGCATGGCCTGCGCGATGAAAAAACAAAGCGAAAACCAATTTGTCGCTGCCCCAACTTCTCCCTCCCCCTTAAAGAAACGCCTATGTCAAAATAAATTAACATAGAGCAGCGCAGCAGCGCCGTCAGCGTCGCTTCGCTGTCAAATGCCGGCAGCAGAAATATAAAAAATATGTGCATACTTTCGGGCGCGCATATAAAAAGTGTGCGCATACTTTTGGCAGCTTTTGAGTTATAGACGGTGTGAGGGCGAAACTAAGTGAGCGAATGCATGTGTGTGTGAGAGTGTGTGTTTGAGTTGCGATTGTGGCAGTGTGTGTGTGGGATTGCCTGTAATTGACACATGTTACGCGCACAAAAGCGGCACTGGCAGCGGCAACTTGCCTCGCCGCTTCTCAGCCCAGACCGTGACCCGCACCCAGAGACCCCGACCCCCGACCCAGACGCATGGCTCCATCCCGGCCATCGTTATTATCGACAATGGCGCCGCCAAAAACACACTCTCATCTGGCGCTCTCTCTTTCTCTCTCCCTCTGCCACTGTCTCGCGTGTTCTCCCTGCCTCTCAGCCCCCATACTACACACTCGCATGCCTTTGCTGCACAGCCTTCAAATGCAGGCTCAGGACACAGAGAGAGGCAACCTCAGTCAACTTTGTTTGTAGCCGGCAAAAACAAAAACATACACACACACACACAAACTTACAGAGGACACACACAGAGCACCGTTTGCTGATAACGTTAACGTCAGCTGTGCGGCACTTTGGGGCACGGCACACGTGAGTTCTGGCTATGAGTCTGACTCTGGTTTCGGGGGATGAGGATGAGGACGAGGGCAGCCAGAGTCGTGCGCAGGCAAGCGTCAAACGTTTTGTACCTTGGACCCCCAGGCGACATTCACCTCCCTTCCCTCCTCTCCTCGCCCTCACTTCGCCAGGCATTTGTTTGTGTTGTCAACAAAAGTTTCTTTGAAATCAGTAACAGATGTCGATTGAAATGGCACAATTGCTGCCTGCTCGGTCCCCGTCCCTGGTCCTGGTCCTGGTCCTGTGGCCTACCCATGCTCTGGCTCTGGCTTTGGCTCTGCGTTTGGGTCTGTGCCTGGTGGAGCATCGCCGGGCGCCCGGTACTTATGATGAATATTTTTACGCCAGACACAACACAGGCCCAAGATATCCCGAGCGGCGGGCACATTTTAATTAAAATTCTGTGCTCAAGTTTTAATGTTAATGCATTGGCATCGATGGAAGCTGGAAAACAATGGGACGGAAAATCGGGACGGGGTATATCTGATAGGAAGGGAAACTCTGAATAGTATGCCTTTGTTTGCAGCACGTTATAGAGTATCCCGGGTACAGTTTTAAGCCCCAGGCTGCTGCTGCTGCTGCTGCTGCTACTGCTGCTACTGCTGCTCCCTTTCAGTGTCCCTTTATTGACATCGGACTCTGTACATCCCCATCCTTATGTGTGTGCACGGAGCGCCTTGTGGCTGCTGGCGATAACAAACGATAACTGCATGTTAAATAGAAGCTGACGAAAGGAAAGGCTAGCCCGCACAGGGAGAGGGCTAGGCTGCCTGCCAGAGAATGACAGCATATGCAAGTTGGACGCCGGACGTGCAGCCATTTCAATGTGTACAGGCATCCCTCTGTCCCTGCAGATCAGAGCGGAGGTTGAGGGGGTGGGTGGTGGTGGTAGGTGCGAGTGGGGCTTTGGGAAATCACTCAGGTAGCAAAATGCCATCATCATCATCATCATTGTTGTGGGCTGAAGGGTTGCTAAAAAGCGCACAGCATCGAGACAAAAGCAAAGTTAAGGCAAGCTGCTGTCTGTCTCACTGTTCCAGTATCTGTGTATCCGTGTATACGTGTATACATGTATGGGTTAGCAGCCGCAAGGCAATGTGTGCGTGTGTGCAACAAATGTTGTGGGCGTCCTTCAGGCGGGAGCTAGAGAATGAGCATGGCGGTAGTGGGGGGCGGGGTCTAACGAGCTTTTACTTGCTGGCTTGCAATGCGACAGCAGCAGGTGTGCCATGCAGGCGGACACCCGCAGACACACACACACATACACACGGAGGAGGCAGGGCACAGCTGAGTGACGATAATTGAAATTTCATCACAGTAGTTTGTGGTTTTGTAGCACTCACACACATGCACATGTGGAGATGCTGCCACTCACACTAATGCGCAATTCATGGCCAGTTCCGTTCCGTGCCTGCCTTCAACTTCTTCCAGGAGCCACAGCCACAGCCACAGGCACATCGAAATGTAATTTTCTAATTCGGATATATATCGAATTGGGTTTGGGTTTTGGGTCTTTTGTTTGGTTTAAAACACTTTATTTCTTGGGTTTTCTTTTGTAGCCTTTTGCTGGTTTCCGTTTTTTGTTTTTGTTTTTGTTTTCGTTTTTGTAGATGCAACATTTACGTGGTTTGTTTGTGTGTCGTTTATGGTAAAAGTACATTAGGTATTAGTTTAAGAGATACAGTAAATACTAATCAATAAATTAAATACAATCAATAAATTAGCCATATAATAATTTTTACTTTATTGTAATAATAATAAAATCTACTATGTTCAGTTGTTTTCCATTACTTGCTTTGGGGTTTGCGGTTTGCCTAAGTACTTACAGATCTATACTTTCGTATTTCGTATTTCTTTATTCTTTATTCTTTTACTGCTTTGAGAGTTGAGCCTTGAGTGTGGGATAACATGTAATATGGTCTATAATATTAAGTTTTTTTCTTCCGTTTGCAGATTTCCGATTTCCAAAAGTGCATTAGCTGAAGTGTGCCGGAGATTCCTCTTGTAGACTGATTACCCTTTTCGATTCCATGTGGAATGCCCTTTATAAATTCCTCTAGAGGCTGGGTTACTCTTCCCTCTATATCCTAAGACCCCTCCTACACTAATTGTTGGCTGCATAAAACATTTAAATGTGGGCACATCTACATATGTATGTATGTGGTATCTGTATCTACGGCTGAAGCGTCCTCCTACTCCGTGTATCTTTAATTGAGTTTAGAAATCTATTTTCTGACGAATTATTCTTCTTGCTTTTTGGATTATGTTTATAGTAACTGCATAATTATGTATGTAAGTGTGTGTGTGGTTGTGTTTGTGTGTATGTGTATAATTATTATACACCTCGCACCCCTTTAATTTGACTAGCACAAGTACTTCTTCTTGGGTTTCATCATGCGAATGCGTCATTTGGAGCCCAACCCATTGGCCACCAAGGCGCTGGGCGTGGCAGCGGCCACCGCGGTAGCCCCCGTGTTCCCCCCGCCCGATCCTCCGCCGCCTGCGACACCACCAGCCCCTGTCCCACCACTGGCCGCAACAATCGCCTCACGGGCACCCGCCGCCGCTGCTGCTGCCGCTGCCGCTGCCGCCGCCTGGAGATGGGCTGAAGGGGTGGGCGTGGGTGGGGATCGAGTGGCCATCGCAGTGCGGATGCCGCCGGCGGGGTGCAGATGCTTGGCACTCATTTCGCTGGCCCTGGTATTGCCACAAACCTTGAAAACACAGAGAAACAGAAGGATATACAGTGTTAAGATCAGTCCGAGGCGGAAGCGAATGGAAGGGGAGGGGAGGGGAGTTGGTAAAGTGGACACCAACCTGGTGATGGCTATCCCAGTCTCTGTATTGGCACGAGGCGCTGCAGTAGCGAGCCATGTTGCAGCCCGAGCAGGTTTCGGTGGCCTTGCGGCCGCAGTTCCAGCACTGCTGCTGCAGACTCCCGTTCTGGAAAGCGAGGATGGGAAAACTTTGGATTAGCGAATAACTTCACTGCTTTGGAGGAGCACTCTACACCTACATTCTGTGGCGTGGTGATGGATGGCGACTTGTTGTCCAGATCTCGCTCGCCGCTCGAGTGGCGACTCATTTCCATGAAGAACTTCTCCATGCGGAGCCTCTCCTGTGTCATGATCTCGGCGGCCCGCGTTTCGGCAGCCACCACCGCCCGCTGGATCTCGATTACCGCCTGCCGCTTCACCTATGCGAAGAAAAGGGTTTCAAAATTGAGCCTTGAGCGCCAAATGTGGGAGACCCACCTGGGTGACTGCGTCCTCGGCATTCCGCTTGAACTCGGAGACTTTCTCCTCTGTCTGGCGGCGCAGTTCGGCGAGAGCCGCTGGCGTTATCTCCTGGCCGCTGTTGGGATGCTGCGGCTCGATGCCCCGCTGCTGGAGGATCGTGATGGCGCGCTTCGTCTTGTCCACCATGGCCGAGATGCAGTTGAGCATTGTGTGGATGTTCTTCCACTCCTCTTCGCCCCCAGCAGCGCCTCCGCCTGAGGCAGGATTCGGGTTCGGATTGGGGTTGGATTGTGGGTTCGGGTTCGGATTGGGATTGGGATTGGCAGGCCTCTGGGGAGGAGCCGGATGCCGCAGCTCCCTCTCGTCGCGCTGCATGAAACCAGCCGCCGAGGGGAGACCCTCAGCCACCGCCACAGTGTAGTCGCCGTAGGCCATGACCGAGTGCGCGGGATGCAGGGCCATCCGCTTGTTGGGCGGTGGGGGGTACCCGGAGGCGGACACACCCCCGCCGCTGGCCATATACTCGCTCCACTCATGCAGCCCGTTGTGGCCTCCGTGCTCCATCATGGAGTCCGAGGATCGCCGCTTGAAGACGCCACTGGCACTGCCGCCGGCACCGTTGGATGTGGGCGCCTCCAGTTGGACGAAGATGTCGCCGAATTCGGCCCCAAACTCCATCACCGCCTGCTCGTTGTTGGTCACGTACTGGAGGGCGGACTGGTTGGTGGCCCTGGCCAGAGCCAGCACCTCGCGCTGCATCAGGGTTACGCTGTTCTTTAGCAACGGCATCACGTAGGGTCGCAGGGGCAGGTTAATGGCCTCCTGCAGGGCCAGGCGGAACTCCTCCAGCGAGATGGTGCCGCAGCACAGCGACAGGACCAGAGCCCGCACCCGCTCGCACACTTCCGGCTGGCCCAGCTCCTGCGAAAAGTGCACCAGGGCGCCGAGGAACTTGCGCATCTTGCCCACGAGTCGTGCCTGCTCCACATGGGCCGCTGCTGCGGCGGCGGCTGCGGCTGCCAGCGAGGCGGCATGCTGGGCCCCCGGCGTCGGCGAGGTTCCAGACGAACCTACTCCTCCGTTGACCACGGGGGAGACACTGGCATTGCGCTGCGGTCGATGGTGCAGCTGCAGGGGTGAGTGGGGTGAACGGGGGGCGAGACTGCGTGCGGAGTCTGGCGGGGAATCGGGCGGAGTGCGACACAAGCGGTCCCTCTCCCGCTCCCTCTCCCTCTCCCTGTCTCGACTGCTGTGCGATGTGCAGTTGCTGCTGTCCTTGCTGCTGCTCGACGAGGATGAACTCTTGTCGCCATTGCTGCTGTTGCTGCTACTGCTGTTGGCTGTTTGGGGAAGGAGAAAGGAGAAAGGAGAAGATAGTACAGCTCGTTAGTTGTGTGTTAACAATAAACAAGAGAAACAAGTCCAAGTGCAAGTCCAAGTCCGAGTCCTGGACGAAACATATCACAGGATGTGCAGCCCAGGCGCATTACAAATGCATTAGCAGGAACTTGCCAAAGGGGCAGGGCCGAGGGCGCAGGGAGCTGGGCAGAGGAGTGACAGAGGAACGGAAGTTGCCACAAATATATATGTACATATATATTCCACCGACCACAACACGCTACGGCACTTGTCCTCCTGCCACATCAAGGAGCGGGTGCAACAACCAACTGGCAGCATTAACAAATTTGTTTGAACATGGGAAATAAATTAGCAAACATTTTTGGTCCACGTCCTCGTCCCCGTGCTCGTTCTCGTCCTCGTTCTCGTTCTGGTGTGGTCTTCTGTGCTGTGCTCTGCTGTGGCATGGTAGGTGGGTGGGGTGTGGCAAGTCAGGCAAGCAAATCAAGCACCACATAACGCACTAATTGCATGGGTAAAGAGGGATGCCAAGGGGCAAGTGGGGCAAGTGGGGCAAGTGGGGGGAGGGTCTCTACAGGCAGTGGCTACAACACATTGCGGTACGTGCTGTCCCATCCGATTTCCCATTTCCCATCCGCCGGCCCCATTCCATGATCCTCCTGCCAAAGCGATGCTGTAGCTCAAAAATGAAAAGCTTAACGCAAATCCGCACTGCGCAGATGGCCGGAGGAGCCGCTGGGGCCCAGAGTGCCAGGCGGCAAACGAATGCCAGCGCGATTTCGTTGCTTCCTTTAAAAAGTGAGCTTCAATATGATCCAGGGCTACCTTTGTTCCCGCGACTAATGTTAGTTTTGCTGAGACCTCAGTTCGATTCATTAAATATTCAAAAACCATCCATGGTTATAAATAGGAACCTATTCTGGAAACATTTGTAGCCTGTGCCGAAGCTATAACGCCCAAACACAGACACACACACACACACAAACTTTGTTTGCACAAGCTAATGGAAATTGTTTATGGGTCTGTGTGTGTGTGTGTGTGTGTCCTCCAGTGGGTGGCTGACAGACACCCAGAGAGGCGAATGTTGCTGCTGACGACGACGACGACGACGACGACGATGATGATGATGATGATGACGATGACGACGACAACGACAACGACGATGGGAAATGGCAGTCGGTTGATGTTGCCGCTTTTGCTGCTGCTTCTGCTGATTCTGCTGCTGCTGCTGCTGCTGTGGCTGGTGCACAGTTTGCTTTTGTGATAATGATTGTGGATACAGCTGCAACTGGGTGTGTTTTCACAGCCATTCAGGCACGCCACCGCCATGCCAATCGAAGGGACACACAGATACAGTGAGGCACACAGCGAGACAGACAGATATACGGACGGACAAGAGATACGCAGCACATAGTCGCAGTCGCAGTCGCAGTCGGAGGCATCACTCACTCCGTCGGCGGCGCTTATCAAACGCCAAACATAGACAATGATGGATCACATGAACGTCTCCACAGCCCACTAACGAACCCATCTCGCTCCACCCAATCCCACGCCGTTTCGCCCCCTTAATTGGCTGCCAGCCTCCCTGCCGTTCCCAGTCCACCCGCAACCCGCAACCGGCAAACCCCCCACCAGCAATTCTTCCCCGCCTATACTCCTTTCTGTGGTACAATTGTAAAATATTGCACTTGACCGGGCTTAAAAGTTTTCGGTTTGTTTGGGTTCTACTCATATTTGTTGCTGCTGTTGTTGTTGTTCTTCTTCTTGCTTTTTTAGAAACCTCAACTGACCAAAAGTTGGTGTCCAGAGAGTCCAGACCGAGGACCAGAAGCAGCAGCAGATGTAGCAGCTGTGGCAGCCAAAAACCCACGCAAAACCCAAAAAACTATTTACGAAAATTTTGTGTTGACAATTCACATATTTTCTAAAACATAATGTTCGGGGGGTCGGGTGTGCCCGTGGCTGTGTGTGTAGCATTGGGCGGCTCCAACTGCTGGCTCAACATTTGCCCGCAGCATGAGGCTTGCTCCGGTTGTGGCATCGATTTAAGGTTACGTATACGCAGCATGGGCCAGTCTGCATCCTCTGCTGCCACTCGTCCCAAAGACTCTATATGTGTGTGCTAATGTCTGTGTGTATTGTGTGTGTGTGTATGTGTGCTAGTATGGGCAACAGAATTTGCACAGCTGCGTCCCATAGATTGCAGTCGAGCGTACAAAACGAAACGTTTGCTAGTTTAGTTTGTTGTTGCTGTTTCTGTTGCTGTTGCTGTTGCTGTTGTCATTGCTGCCACTGCTGCTGCTGGTGCTACTGCCACTGCTGCTGCTTCTGCTGCTGGTTGTGGCATAGTCATTTGGGAAAACAATCATTTTGGCAAATATTCATCATGCGCTGTTTGTGATTATCATCAGAAGAGGCACAGACTGACTGAGATATAGACAAACAAATAAAATAAGAGAGAGACAGTCAGAGACATCACGAGTTTCGGCTCGGTTGCCCATTGTTTGGGGCTGTGGCTCCTCCTCTTTGTTGAACAAAACTGTGCTCAAACTCCACAAAAATGCTAATTAGCGAACGGAACCTTAAGCGTCTTAAATGCAGGGCGGCCACACATCATTTCCCCCTGGGAGTTGCCACAGGTACAACGCACGCACAGCACAGAAGCAGCAACAACAGCAGCAACAGCCACAATAACAGTGGCAATCAAAGCAAAGCGCACAGAACGGCGACCATCATCCTCCTCCTGCTCCTGCTCCTGCTTATGACGCCTAAAAGCAGGCAACAGAATGTTCGCCTGCGTGCGGGCTGCTGCTGGGAACAATGCCAGCAGCGGTTTCTGTGTTTTTTCTTCTTGTTTGGTTGGTTGGGGGTTGGGGTGTATGTTGGGGAATGAGGGGAAGCATAGGGCAACGGGGGCCAACTAGGAAATGCTTTTGGCCTTTTCCATTCGTTAGGTTGTTGCCTGCTGTGGGATGTGGGATCTGGGGTCTGTGGCACTGTGGCTGAGGTTGCGGCCCCTGCGCAGAGACCAGTCTCCAATGCTCTCTGCTCTGTGTGGAGAGAGTGTGGATCCACGCTCAGCTGATTTCGTAGTTCCCCTTGCTTTTTATATATGTACATACACTTTGAGGAGGGGTTCGACTCCTTTCTGCTAACGCAACATAAGCAAGGAGGCTGCAACCCGAGGCTCTCCCACCGCACAGAGACACGCAGACAAACAGCTGCTGGCATTCACACCATCAATCGCCTGAGCCGTCAGCTGGTCGACGCCCGTCCGCTCGCCTCTATGCACCCAATTAAACGCCTTAAAGTATGCTCCACTTCCACTCCCATTCGACTCACCTTTAAGCCTTCGGCAAATGCCTGCCGCTGTGGCTGCTGTTGCTGTGTTGTTGGTTGACGCCGCTGCTGCTGCTGCTGCTGCTGCTGCTGCTGCTGACGCTGCTCCCGTCACCGCCGACACCACCACGGACGATGATGATGATGACGATGACGCGGGTGGCACTGGGACACCTGCTGCTGTGGCCACCGCCAAGGCAGCGCCAGCTGCCACCGCTGCCGCCGCCGCTGCGGCTACGTCATATGAGTCCTTGTCGGTAATCTCCTCCTTAATTATCGCCTTTCCATCGAGCGCCATCTGGAAATAGTCCAGCAAATTAGTTAAGAAATACATATATGTATAAGCAGCAGGGCGGAAGAGAGGCAGGGACTGGGAGGACGAAGACGAGGACGAGGACCCGCCCACGACCACGGCCCGCGACAGACAGACTGCACGGGTTCCCACCAGCGACGGCGATAGACAAAAACATCAAGTGACAAAGTTCTCACATTATGTTTTCAACTTATTTGATTTCAATTTGATTAAATGGTTGTCTGACATGCAAATTGGGTGTGCCCGCACACAGCTACAGAGTCCTTGGACTCCTGGCCAAATGGGGAACCTCAAGCAGCTGTCGCACTAATGTGCCTAAACGGGTTCTCTTAAACAAAAAAACAAAAAAACACATTTAAAATTAATGCAAAATACAGTGCAACTTCTTCCATATAGAGGGTCTTAAAATATAGAAGCCAGTACATACACACATATATTCCTAGGAATTATTCAAGAATACTCGGGGTATTCTTTCGTTGATTATTTTTCAACAACTGGGAATTTCGGAAATTGAAATTCTTCGAATATTTTCCAATTTTCCCGACCGCCCGACCATCCATTCAGCCAACAACTGGGCACAGGCCACACGCTGTGGACACCTGTTCCGTAATTGAGTTGGAGAACTTTTGCCCCGCAGACTCTGCAGCGCCTTCGACTCAATGAATTTCCACGAGGAATTCTCGGCTATTTTTGCCGGAGGGCAACTCGATTGCTCTATTGGGTGGTGGCCTTGCTAATTGACTCAACAAATGCAGTTCCTGTTTATTGGCAGTGGCAAGCAACCCTTCGCCTGTGCAACCCACCAATTAGGACCCCTGCCCCCTCCCGCCTGGCCGTATCGACGCCACCCCGTATCCCCCGCCGCCCGGACACAGCATGTTCATGTCCAGAGCGAAACATTTTTCTGTTGATTTTTATCACTAAAATATGTAAATACCTCTGCGGACTGTGGGAGTTTGTGCAGCTTTGCGAGGCAAGCCCCTGCATAAACAAGAGGGTGGTAAGGTGGGAGGTAAAAACAACAAGAAACTGAACAGAAGGCTGTGTGTATGATGGGTGTATCCGAGAGTGTGGTGCGGGCGGGGTGGGGTGGGGTGGGGTGGGAGGTGATGGGCGGCTCGGAAACCTGTTCATTTTCATTCATGTTTTCGATCAATCTTTGCGGCCTTTTATTTCGCTTGAGGTGTAAGAATCGGTGGAAGCATCATCGTGTGTTTAAAGTCCATCGTCGCCGCACTGGCTAACATGTACGTATCCGAACAATTAGTGCCCCCCACAGACCCCTCCTGCACTCCCTGCAGCCCCCCTAACAGCTGGAGCAGCTGTTTGGCATCAGAGCAGAAATTACACACACACACCAAATGCTGGCTGCTAATGAAATGAAATTCTATTGAAAACAAACACTTGACACGGCGGCAGCTGCCGTTTTGCCAAATGACGACGAGAGATGGCCCACAGATCGGTCCCCCGTCCCACGTCCCACGTGCCCCGTGCCCACCCTCTTCAGCATATGGTAGACATAACACTTGTCAACTGTTTTTCCGAGCTCTTTCCGAATGAAGTTTGCAAAAATACCAACAAAAGACAATGCGTACGAGTGTGTGTGCACACATACAGGGCGGCTGATTAGATGAGGGGCAAACAACAAGTGTTTTCAGGTGAGAGGGGAGATGCCACAGGCAGAGGCCAAGAAACCCAGCGTTGCCGCTGAGTCACTTAATAGCCCCAACGTTGCCTGCCACCAGCTGCTGCCTCTGCCAGTGCCTCATGTTCTGCCAACGCCTCTGTTCTGTTCTGCTCTGCCACTGCCACTGCCACTGCCACCGCCACCGCCACTGCCTCTGCTGTGGCCCTGGCTATGACGAATGAATCAAATGTCAGAAGCAGCCGTGTCGTTGTCGCTCAAGCAGCTGTCGCCTGTCGTCGCCAGAAGGCGCCCCCAGTGCCTCAGTTAACCCCCAGCCAGCTGCCACCGCCCACCCACCACCTCTCGTACCTCCGCAGGCACTTCAAAGAGATGGCAGCCTCACAAGCTTCCATCGCAGGAAAATGGAAAATGTCGCCCGCAGAAGTTTTTCCCACAAAACTTGGGCCAGCTCTGAGGCTGAAGCTGAAGCTGAAGCAGAGACTGAGGATGGGACTGAGACTGAGACTGAGACCGAGGCAGCAGCGTCTGTGGCAGCAGGGACTGGGGCTTGTGACGGCTGCAGGCGAAATTGCCAAGAGGAAAAGTAATTATTTAAACGGAGCCAAGCAGCAGCAGCAGAAGCAGCAGCCGGCACAGTGGGATGAAAGACTCAATTAGTGATATATTCAGCCACAAACTGCAACGGCATTACCCTGTCTGACATTTTACCTGTCATTATGTTTGGAATTTATTAATATCCGTTCTGATTCACGCGATATACAAGCTGACACAAGCTATTAATTTCCTTTCCAATCACTGGCCTTTCCTTTGCCACAGTGACCCTGCAGTGAGGCAGGGGCGGGGCGTGGTCACTACTTGACAAGTGGAAAGCTACAACAAAGCATGCAGCACACAGCATTTTCACTGGATAATTTTCAATTAGGCTCGCAAAGAGCATAAAAAAACAGAAGAAAATTCTTAAACGACATTCATTTATTTCTGTGGAGGGCAGGAGGACGGAGAGTATAAAGGAGGAGGCAGAGGCAGAGGCAGAGAGCCATGTGCTGGACACCAAAGCATTTTATACTTTTATCCCTTTTGCTAACAAAAACACACCCAGATGTGGATGTGGATGTGGATGCGGAAGGGTCCAGCGGTGGGGCAGAGAGTGTTAACGAAAAGGCGCGCCAACTGTAATAACAACAACAGAAGCGTTAGCGCGGCTGTGGAGGCAGGAGACGGATAGGGCCAGGAGCAGGGGTTGAAGGCCAGCGCCAGAATGAGGTTGAGGTAGAGGGGGAGAAGGAGGAGGAGAGGCGAAAACAGAATGAAAGAGCCTGGAAAATCACAGCACAGCTGCATGTGCTTTTCCCGTAAGCTGCCCGTCGACGTCCACAACCACGTCCCAGGTCCCAGGACCAGGACCAGGCCCAGGTCCTGCCCCTTCTCCACATATGCCTGCGTGTGTCTGTGTGTGTGAATGACAACCCACTCGAATGCCGGACGCCGGGCACTTTGTAGCGTTGTTGTTGCTGCGGCTCTGCGGAGTCCGCATTGTGCGTCATTATGCGCAAGTGGCGCCCCATTCCTGGGAGAGATTACTGGCGACGACACCTGTGCAACAGCAGCAGTCTGCATATGTGTGTGTGTGTGCGTGCGTGCGAGAGTGTTTTACAGTTAAAAACTTTTTTGCAAGTCGCTACGTCAGCTGCTTCATTACACAGGGGGGAGGGGAGGCAGCCCTACAAATGGTATGTATGCTGGATGCGAGAGGGGGCGGCAGAATGGCAGGGTGTGCGAGGGAATGGGTTGAGTGAAAAGTTCCTGGGAAGCATTTAATTAGACGAGCCTTGACGGCCGGCGGAAGGCCGCTGCCAAGTCGATAATTAACGATTCAATGTTGTATTTAATTCACAGCTAATGAATGGGAAAGCGGTTACAACACTTTGCTTTGATGTGAAATTATAGATATTCTTGATTTCAGTATCGATTGGTATCTAGTACAATTATTCCGCAAATGTCTGGTATTTACATCCGCTCATCCGAAAGTGATGACCGGAGAAAGAATGTCCCCACATGAGTGAGATGGTATGTATTACGCATCAGGACATCAGGACAGAGCTTACAGAAGATCTTCAGTGGCGACCCTCGTCAACTATTTGCTAAGCGCCTCTCAGTCGTGCAACGTGCCGCAGCATCGGCGTCATTTTAAATTACACATCACGCGCACACACAGACGCCCGACAGACAGACAGACAGACAGACGGCAGCATAAGCGGTGGCAACATCAACATTTTTGCACTACTCGCCGCACGTGTGAGCCTGCCACTCGCTCTCCTGCCTTCCCCGCAATGCCGCACTGCTGGTGCTGTTTGCTGCCTCCGTTCACCCTTCATTTGCAGCCTGTGTGGGGCATAATAAGATAATGGCTTGTCAGAGAGCAGCAACAGAGGCACGGCACGGCACGGCAACAACCTCGGGGGGAAAAAACAGTTGAACGAGCGAATGTCGCGCTTAATCGGCTTTATGGTCTGTTTTATTTCCGATATGAACTGCTTTATGTCCAGAGAGGGCGAGAGTGCGAGAGAAAGGGAGAAATAAAGAATGAGAGAGGGGTAGAAAAAACTGGAGAACATTTGCCTGCCACATGTTGCCCACAAATTGTATTTAGTCATCCCAATTATGCCACATCCAGCAGCTGATGGCCGCCAGCTGCTGCTGCTGCTGCTGCTGCTGCTGCTGCTGCTGCTCTTCTTGCCTCCAGCGGTGCATGCAATTTCCCAATAACAAAACGGGGCCTTCCTGCAATTGAAGATTTCCCAGCTGCCTCAGCTTGTTTCCCGGCTGATTGGAAAATCATTTTGGAGCAGTCTTGCAGCAAGCAGCAATCAGCAAGCAGCACGTGGCACTGTTCAAGTTTGTGCCGTTTCTGTGTCTGTGTCTGTGCTGTGCCTGTGTCTGAGGCAGAGCAGCCAAGTTGTCTGCTGCTGGCAGCAACAACTTCAGCAACTACAACAGTGACTGTGGCAGAGAGAAGACCAGGCAGCAACTGCTGGCAACACATGGTGGCACGTGTCGACGTTGACGACGGCTTTTGGCCATGGCTGCACTAGACAGCAGTGGCTGCTGCTGCTGCTGCTGCGGCTACTGCTGCGGCTGCTGCTGCCGTTTTCAATTAAAAATTGCGAATGACAGCAGGTGCTGTTGATGGCTTCTCTGGCTTCCGTCTGCTGCCTCACCTGCCCCTCCTGCTGCTCTTCTGGACGTGTGCACCTGAGTGTTTGTGCGGTTGGATGTGTCTAAGGAGAGCAGAGTCCTTTCCATTAGCAGCACCTGCGTCCAGCTAGCAACTCTCGGCCCTATCATGCCCAAGCATCAAAATACACAAGTTTAAGCAGGCAATCCTATGCATTAGATATCTCCAGGGCACAAATCGATGCCCTGGGTGTTGCAACTGCCTCCCCCGCCCCTCATGGCACTGCAGCAACAATCTTGTTAGCTTTTTTTCCATTTTTTCTACACTTTTTTGCCGAAATCTGTTGCAGACACTTGAGCCAGCAGCTCAAACAACTGTGGCATGACAACTTACAAGAAGGAACGGAATGGAGTGGCTGATCCGGAGGCAGGAGACAGACGACGATGCCGCTGGCGGACGCAGTTTTTCAGTCTCCTTCGATGCGGCTGCTGCTGCTGCTGTTTCTGTTCCTGTTGTTGCCTCGGGTATCATCTGCTTTTCATCTGGCGTAAGAAATATTGCGCCAGCTGTGCCAGCTGCTTCATTTCGACGACGCCCCCTTTTCCCAGAGAGGGGACTAAGTACATCTGTGCGTCAGTGTGTGTGTGTGAGTGTGTGTGGCAAGGTCAGCCCTGTCTGGGGCTGGAGATTTAAGACTGGCTGTGGCTGTGGGTGCGGGTGCGCGCCTGCCGCAAATCCAATTCAAATGCTCGGCGCCAAGTGGGGGCGACATTTTGGTAGCCTGCCAGCAAATGGCGTCTGCGATTGCACTGGACATGCCGTTACTCTCGTGGACACACAGACCCTTTTTTCCGAGGGACGAAATGTTTAAAACATAAGCGGGCAAACAGGCAAAAGGATTGCAGATGGCTTGGGGTGGGTGTGGGCTGCGGGGAGGGATGAAGGTTAATGGTTAAAGCATTGAAACAGATTACGATGTGCCAAGGCGTTGCAAATGCAACATCGACAAGGAGGTGGGCAAAGCATGGCTTCGATTTTCCGATGCTATATCCTATATATTCTATATTTGCCCCTGCCACTGGCAGGACTCTCCTCTCTTTTCCCTTCTCTATTGTTTATACCCAAAATGTTCTTCCTCTTATATATTTTTTTAGAACATTTTCCTGGTATGACATTTTTTCGTTGTGCCCCCGAAAACGTTTCGTGCTGCTCTGGGGCCCACGTCTTTTTAATAAGCTGCCACTTGCAGGGACAACAATTCCGGTGGCGGTGGCAGTAGCAAAGCCACAACAACGGACCGAATTTCCCAAAAACCAAGAGAGAGAAGGAGAGTGAACCAGTGGGGAAACGGATGGCAGCCAGGCGAACAGAAGAACTAGGAGTAGGAAAACGGAAAACCGAATTTCGTTTTTGACTTTTTCGATTAAGTGTATGCTCTATAGAGAGACGGAGAGACGGAGAGAGAGAGAGGGCGTACCGTTAGTTGCTGTTCTGTGCGTGACATTTTCGCGCTTTTTTAGCTTCCATTTTTTCCCTCCCCCCTGTGGCCATTCCCCTGCACATCCCTCCCTCTAGGCTTCAGCTCCTCCTGTAGCTTCCAATGTTTGCCTTTGAGCTTTGAGGAAGATTTTCCTTTCGTTTCTCTGGTTTGGTTTTGGTTTTGGGTTTCTTTTCTCTTGGCATGCCATTCGTTCCGTTCCATTCGTTTGCTTTGGTCTAATAAGCAAATTGACTTATTTCCGGTCGCCATGTTGTTTGTTGTCTCAGCTGCTTCATGCCGCAAACAAAATGGCGTCTCATTAGTCAATGTCGTCTAGGCGGCATCTTAATTGCCAAAGGTGTGAAAATCCAAAAGTTTTTTCTGTTTGCTTTTTTCGGATGCTTCTTTTTTTACGAGGCTGTGCCGTGCCGTGCCGCAAAGTTTGCAGTACTAATGATTGATTGAGCCCTTGATGGATTGCCGTTTCTCTGGATGGCTGGCTGTACGTTTGAATGCCTGGCTGGTTGCCATTCCGGGGCGGGGGTGGTCACGAGGGGGCGGGACGGAGCGAAGCACATGTGGCCCTTGGTAATTTGATGCCAGCTGCATTTGTCATGTGCATTTTCACCTGTTCCACCGTGCCTCACTACCGACTATTACGCTAATAACTTTGCCCTTTTTCGCCGCCGCTGTCCATTTTAAATTCCATAGCCATGGAAATACACATGCAAGCTCGCAGACCATGCCTCACGCCTGTCCTGGCCTGGCCTGTGCAAGCCCGTATGTCAATGCATTATTCAATAGGACATTGTTGAATGGCTGATTGCCCGATGATTACTGATTAGATGAGGGCCGGCTCTCCGATTTGCCCACGGGCCAAAACAGAGCCAAATTGCTGACACACTAATTGAACGGCGCGGCTGCCGGATTGGATTGGATTGGATTGGATTAGAGTGCAGGTCAGATTCTTGGTGAAACACGAGCATTGCCATTGCCCGCATTTGTACAAATGTCCTTCCTGGTCAATCCGCTACATACATTATTGATCGTTGAATTAATTTCTATTATTGAGCAAATATTTGAGGCAATTAATTCTGGGTTCAGGCTGTTAAAGGCCGAGTAAAATTTCCACTGCATTTTGGCACATTATCCGTTTTATCCAAGTGCTAGGGTATCGATCTGTCCAACCCCTTATTATTATGCCATAGTTGCAGGACGGTTTTGCGGTGGCACTGCATTGTTGAATGAATAGCGGAAAAAATGAGAAAAGCACAAAACAGATCGAACCGCGGCCAGGGCCTCCAAGCTGGTATAATGTTTATGCAGGTGTCATGCCTGCATGACAGAAACCACACTGTGAGAAAACACGGAGAGCAACGGAGGTATGGCGCAGGTACGGGGAATGGCAACCGTAATAACAATAGCAATACCAACAACAATGATCTGCCAGACGGTGCGACGGGTGCGACGGGAGAGCAAAAAGGCCGAAAGACAGCTGCCCTGTCCTCACACTTGTTCCGATCTCTCTTCTCCTCACTCTCCATCCAGCTCTCGTTCTTTCTCTGTCTCTTTCTTTCAATTGTGGCAGCTGCAAAGTCAAGGCCACAGCTGGCCAGGCGATCCAGGCTGAGTCACGGACTTCACTTCTGTAGTTATCCCCAGAATTGAGCGATCTACTACAGATGATAATTATGATACTCACATGTGTTTGAGTATTGATAGCTCCCAAATATTTGACTTGTGGGTAGGTTTTCCCTCTTTTTATTAAAACATTTGTGACATTGAAAACGTAAATATATTATTAGATAGACTGTATATAAGAACTTAAGATGTTTCCACTTGTTTAATATTTGATATCAACCGAAGACCGTAAATACCAGTTATTGCATCAGGGGAACAAATTCCATTTACATTTTTGTTTGATGCCCTTTGGTAATCGTACTTCTATTCTCTTTTAGGATATCCTTCGCATCAGAGCCTTGGGCAGTTGAGTCGGTTCGAAAAAACACAACAACAACTACACAAGACCGATGCCTGGACCCGTTGTCGGACCCACGAGAGGAGAAAACATGCCTCGTCATGCCCAAGACATACATTTGCCTTTAACCAGAGTTCCAAACGAATCAATTGGGAAACTTATGAATATTTTGCCAGTCTATTATCAGCACGAAGCCTCTACCAAAATCTAGGCCTAAAGAACTGCCCAATAATACTGCCTAATAATTATTCACAATTTTGCACTGGAGACACTTTCCGCAGTAAAAGTTTGGGATTTCGGGCACTTATTTACAACAGCAGTCACAGATGGAATCGACAGATGGCAGCAGGAGGCACAGGGCAGCAGGGCAGCAGGGGAACAGGGGAACGGGGGAACGGGACACGGGCCAGCAGCTGCGACACATGGCAGCCAGCTGCAATTATTTGCAGTTGGAAGTTCTGTTTCTGTTGGGAACGCGGGCGCACAAGGCCATCAGAAACAGACGGCGGCCAAAGTCATGGACCAAAAACCCAGTCGAGGCAACTTCCGACCCCAGCCCCATCCCCATCCTCGTCCCCATCCCCTGCCCCGGGCAAAACAGCAAAAAGAGGGCAAATAATTTATAATTTCGCACGTGAAACTGACAAAGCAGAGGGAAAGCGAGATTTTCCTACACATCGGATCGTATCCCCTTCCGCCGCACAGCGCCCCACTATCCCCACTATGTCTGTGTTCTGCTAAAACTTTTATTCGAGCACTTGACAAACGAATTTGTATCTGCAGTTGTGCTCGCCAAATGTTTGAGCAAATAAAAAACAGATGCGTCTTGGCCAGACTACCACACTCGAATATCTTTGTATCTACATATATGTATATTGTGTATAGACACTCGCACTGTATCTTGTGGGGCCAAAGACACTTGGAGTGGCATGAGACAGCTGGCCCTGGACCTGGACCTGGACGGGAGCCACAATCAACATGTGTTGGCCGTAGCTCATACGCGTAGCATCCACAGATGCGAGTGATGCGGATGCCGATGATGCGCATCTGTGGTGTACAATTTTCAGGGGGGGACTTACCATTTTATCTGATCTATTGGTATACTTGATTATTTGGCTCTATAATAAACTTTAGTTCGATTGAAACTGTTGTTTGCTTTGGCTTGTTTTGTGTTTGATGAATATTCAGTTCGATTGCAGCATCTTTATATCAAACTATTTGTTATCTGTTAGTTTTTCACTCCTGACTAGTGGAATCAATTAGTTTTTCTTAATTACTGTTTCGCGTTCTTTCATTTATTCACTATTTACAGTTTTCGACGATAAAACAGCGCGGAACCGGCATTTCGAAGCATTGCAATGCCGAGCAAATATTCTGAATGGCGCGGCATCGGAGGCAAGCAATCCACGCGGAAGTCGAGAACGTGGATAAAGAGTGCGGATGCGGAGCGGAGCCGTCCGAACTGGCGAATGTTGGATTTGTTTGTGAGAAGAGCAGCCGCCACTCAGGTAGCGACGACCGACCGCCTCTGTTTCGGACGTGTTCATTCGTGTACATCGCTTCGGGTTCGTATTCGTCGTCGCCTGCTTGCAGTCGGGCGCCTGCGCAGTGGATTCCATTGCAGATGGAACAGCTGTTTCCCCCTCTTCAGCCGCCTGCCTTTGGTCTTATCGCAGGGCTGTGGCAGCGGCAACAACTGCCAGACATTTGTTCTTGTTGGTCGTCGCCGGCATTCGGCCTCTGGGCTATTAACATCAGCTGCTGCTGCTGCTGCTGCTGCCTGCCTCTCAGCCTCCCTCTCTTCGTGCCTTTCGTGCCCCTGCCACTTACTCGTCCCTCGGGTGATGCCTTCTGCTGGCGGCAGCTGAAAAATTCCTTTTTGGCAGCAGCTTGTTACGTTCTCGTCTCTGTTGCTGTTTCATTTTGGTCCCCTGCCACTGCTACTGCCACTGCCACAGCCACAGCCATGAAATTCCAGTTGGCATTGCGTTGCGAACTGCGTGCCGATATTTAAATAAATTGCCAACCAATTGTGCACACACACCCCGCAGTGGCGGCCTTATGCGCGTGTTCACACCATGTCAAACGCTTGGACCCCCAACCCCCACACACAAACACACACACCACGCACTCCCCCCCTGGACCCCAGGGAGCACCGGGCTTAGCCATGGGAACGAGCGGCAAGCAAATTAGAAGCGATTTGGTCTCTGCTTCGTTCTGTGTTTGGGATCTACCAATCCTCGGAAATTCCAATCGGAGAGGGTAGGATCAATGCAGACTTCAATTAGTACGGGAACCACCCTATGAACATATCCATGTTTGCATTATCTTACTCTAAGCTCAGTTAATCTAAGCACTTACGGAAGGCTAATGAGCGATATTTTTAAGGGATTCAATGCACAGAGGATGATGGGTTACGCAGGCCGATATTAGCCATTAATCCATAGATTGTACGCAGATTATAGATTATGTTCGTCGTTTGCACTGTCCACTGTACTATATTGTCATCTACCTATATATTAACATTTGTATATTCTCACGCTCGGCATTATCCTATGCTGCTCTTCTTCGATTTCGCTATCGTTCTCTCGATCTGTCGGGCTATAGTCTAAGCCGCGCTTACGATAGGGAACGCCTGCCCTTATGTAGATCACAATGAGGATATATATTGTATGGTAAAGGGTATAGATCATAGATCCTATAGAAGAAACGATTGCGTTTGAATTGAATCAGTCACACTCCATTAGTATCATCCTTCAACATACATAGTGGTTATAGGCAATTAATTCCCCCTTTCCCCTGCTGATGATTGGTAAGAAATCGGCAAAGCGTATACATACATATGTATGTGCATATCTGTCATCTGTTTGCATTTACCAGCTGTGGCAGCGGGGAAGACGTTTCAATAGATTCCTACAAATTGACCACCGCAATTTAAACAAACCCCCGCTTTTGGCCAATAAGTGGCCATTCATCTTGTCCAGCCGCAGTTCTCCCATTCCCCCAATCGAAGCACGGATCCCTGCCCCCACACCCACATAAGCAAAACTTGCCACAAACGAAAACCCAAGCACCCTAAACCACAAACTTGAGCGAACGAGAGGGGGAATCGTGGCAGAGAGAGAAAAGGAACATTTGGCACCCAAACCAAGTCCTATTCCAAGTCCAGAGCAGGGCGATACGGGAAATCTATTGGATTGGCGGGGATGGGGCGGCAGAAAGCGGCAGCTAGCAGCCAGCAGCCAGCAGCCAACAGCCAACAGGCAGCATCCAAGGCAGAAGCGCTCTTCTTTTACTGCTGCCACTTGGTAGCAGTTGGCAATGGCAGCGACGTTGCCGTCTCCGGCTCCGGCTCCGGATCCGTCGTCTTCGTCGTAGTAGTCGGGGCAGCATCAGGCGGCAAATAATGTAAAACGCCATTAGGCGAGATTTTCTCATACAAACAACAATTGTGCATTGGCACACCAGCCTGAAGTCGTCTGCGATTCTGGTGGCAAGGCTGCTCTGTATGGTGAGGGGGAGGGCTGCTGGGGCACTGTGGGTGGGTGGGTGGCTTGTGGGCGTTGGACACAGTATTTTTTATGCGCATTTCGCACAAGTAAATGGGAAAGAGACGGCGAGATGGAGACAGAGACAAGAGACAGAGAAACGTAGCGAACGAAAACAATTTTGGGGCCGCGCTGCCTGCCTGGCAAGTGGCAACATTTGTTGCTGCTGCCGCCGCTGCTGCTGCTGCGACAAATTGAATGAAATCACGGCAATTTGGAGTGGCATACATCGGCAGGGAACAGCTGCGGCCGGGCCGTGTCCAAGTCCGTTCCCAAATGGCCAGTCGCAAAAAGGAAAGAGGAAAAAAAGAGGGCAGGCAGAGATGGGGCAAACAACTGTTTGCCCTGACTGTTGACGCATAATTGAATTATTAATTTTTATTTTAAACAATGTATGACATATTGTTGCCGCTGCTGTTGCAAGGGGTGTTGCTGCTTCTGCTTCTGCTTCTGCTTCTGTTGCTGCGGAAGCGGCTGTTCTGTTGCTGTTGCGCCTGCCCCACGTGTTATCTGTCGGCGGCGTGCGCCGTTCCGATAAAGAAGTTGTTTGCTCAGCGCCGATTCAGCAGCAGCAGCAGCAGCAAACAAAGTGAAAGTCGGGGAATGAACCCGAACCCGAAGCCACCCCCCACCCAGCAGCCACCCACTTGCGGCGTCCTTTAGGCCAGGAGGTCAAAATGAAGCTGTTTGTTTGGGATGTGTGTGTTCGTCTGAGTGTCTGTGTGAATGGGTGGGTGGCTGACTTTTGATAATAAGTACGAATATGAGTACAAGGGAGATGGGTGCTCGGAAAACAGACGGGGGCATGGGAATTGGCAACTGAGTGCGAGCAGATAACACTCCATGGACGGAGGATGGTAATGGCGAGCGATGATGTTGACGATGATACGACACCCATTTCATTCCCACTCCCACTCCCACTCCGACTTCAATCCCAATCCAATGCCAGTGCAGTGTTGAGCTCCAAATCGTTTGAGGCTCAACTCTTCTTAACTGCTAAGGGCTGCTTCCGGCTGACAGCAGACTGTTGGATGCCGTCCTCAGGCCCAGCGGTTGGCCTGGCCTGTCCACGGATAAGACGCGCTAAAATTGTCGCCGGCAGTGACAGGCCGCCTGGGAGGCACCGATCCGATTCTCAGCTCCGTCCTCCGTCCTCCGTCCTGTCTTGTGCTATGCTAGCCTGTCCCATCCCGTCCTGTCCTGTCCCGTCCTGTCCTGGACATGAATAGCCAAGAAAGGACTTGTCTTGTCTTGGCTTGGCTTTTTGTGCGTGCAAAGTGAAAAGCGTAAAAAGTGAGGCAGAGCTGCAACTAAAGTGTGGACAATGGCGAGCATTTGACGAGGAAGGCGGCACTAGGAGCGGGATAGTTGTGGCAAGAAAAGCGTGGCCCTGGACAGGGACCCAACAGCTGCAATTATACACGTTGCAACGATATAGAAGAAGTCTGCAAAAATGGTCCAAAATAAAACCAGAAACAGATTCGATATTAATTCTTAAAGCCTAGATTTCAATTCAAATCAATTGAATTCATAGTTGGAGATATGTAGTTGGAGTCTTTAGATTTGAATTGAAGGCAAAGCCTCAAAGGAATCATTTGAAAGACAGATTATGACAGCAGCAGCAACAGCAGCCACAAACATCTCTTTACGTAAAGCTTCTGCCACACAACATTTCTATGCCCCACAGACACACAAAAACTGAACGAGCATTGGGATAACTAAGGATAACTAAATTGTCTGCGTGTGTGTGTATGTGTGGCACCACAGAAATGGCAACTGGCAACTGGCAGCTCTCAGCAGCAGCAGCAGCAAAAACCCGGCAGAAGCACTAGCAGCAGCAAGAGTAACCGTTATTAAAGATTTTGAATACCTAATTATGAAAATGTCAGTAGCAAACTTTTTTTTGTGATGCTGACGCTCAAAGAGAGAAAGAGAGAGAGCGTGGGAGAGCGAGAGAGAGTGACAGGGACGGTACAGAATCACAGCCAGGACTCTACCGCCAGCAGCTGATGTGGCTTCTGCTATTTGCTGCTGGCTGGCTGTTGTCTATACCCTTGAAGAGGGTCCGATAATATTGCAATACAGAGAAGAAGGAGCTCTCAGAAGAGCTCCAGAAGAGGATCACCAGAGGATTTCCACCAAATGTCATGTGTTTTGCAAAAATGTGTCACCAAACAATAACCATATATCGAAGATATGAAGGGTATCCACTGCTTCGGCTCACAAAGCTCTACATTCTTCCCGCCTGTTGTTGGTTGGTGCTCGTACTATTATTGCGAGAACAACAAAGTTGCTTGTGATGTGCCTGGCAGCCAAACACGGGTTGCTTCACTCTGCATTCAGTTCGCTGCTCAGCAGTTGCCCCCAACAATAACAAGAAAAGCAGCAGCAGCAGCAGCAACAGCAACACCAACAACAGAAAAGAAATATGAAAAATTCCATTTTCATGTCACTCAATTGAATTTCCATTCAAAAGTTCCATTTTTGTTTTCTTTTTATTTTTTTCCTTATTCTGCTGCTGCTGCTCCTCTCTTTTTTTTTGCTAGTGACTGACGCTGACGTCGACGGTGGGGCTTTTCCATTTTCCCCCCATTTAATATTTTTGCCTATTTTCTGCGAGTGTAAGCCTCCAATCCCCTCGCCGCAAAAAACCTACATTCTATACCCACACATCCATATGTGTGCGTGTGTGTGTGAGCGAGTGCTTTGTATTTTTCGGGTTTTCCAGCTAAATTAATTGCCTACGGATTTGTAGTTAGTTGCCATCGTCATCGCTATTGTTGGGGCCTGTTGTTGGTGTTGTCATTGCTGTTGAAAGCTCAAACACAAATACAGGCTCACCAAAATGCCTGCCACACACCCAC